GCCCTAACCCAGTACAACCAATGTACTGGGAAAGGAAAAAAAGGAAAGGAAATCTGGACAGAAACACACACACACACACACACACACACACACACACACACACACAGTAGTGCAATGAAGAGAGTTAGAAAATGGTCAGCCACAAACTAGATTCTTCCCTCACAGTTCCCATTCAGAGACCCTGCCTTTGGATCTGCAGCTGTGGAGCTATTACACTTTGTAACGGCCACCCTAACCAGACAGCCTCCCAACCCACAGTGCCATCCACCACCTTCAGCTGACAGGATGCAGGCTACCAGGGGCAGGCCACAGGGCCCTCACCCACACTGGCTTCGTGACACCCGCCACACATATAGCACACATAGAGATGGGCACAGAGCAGGCAAGCTCTACAACAGCCCAACCCAGCCAGTGAGACAGGCCTGGAAACAGGTAGCATATCGCCTCAGAGGTACTTACTGGTATCTGACCACTTGGAGGAGCTAGATGACAGCAATGAAAATGGACCCAACAGGCTGTGCTTGTACCACAATACTATTATCGCATTCCCAAACCAAGATTCGAAGCAGTGAGCACAGCCTGGGAAAGCCCAAAACCACACTCCCACCCAGGGGCTAGGACCCCTTGGCCATGCCATCACTTCTGGCCCTTTCTCCCCACTCTCACTTTCACTTCTCTGCATTCTCTGAGCATACAGTTGTCTCTCCTGCCAGAGGACAAGTTTATTTAAAACCGAAGGTACAGCTCAGTGGGGTGCTTAGCATTTGTGAGGTCCTGGCTTCAACCTTCAGGACCACTACAGATTAAACCTCACAGGCTGACTTACATTTTTCCTTGCATTTCCCTAAAAAAAAAAATGAAGCCTGTTAAATGACAACAAATGCCAGACACTATGGTATCACACTTGTGAAATGGGGCGGGAGGCTCAGAGTCCACATGACTGCAACGACTCAGGCCTAATCCCACCCTCCTTAAATCCCAAACGTAAGACGGAACTTAACTCAAGCTCAGGAACAATTTTAAAAACAATGTTATATAAATTGCACTTTTATCAGTGGTTTAAGTTATATGTCAGATATATCTACCAAAGTTAGTTTGATCAGTCAACATCTACAAAGTGATCTTAAATTACTTGAAAATGAACATGGGGTCTACAAAATTTTGTTTATAGCTAAAACCAATAGTTTCAAACTTGACTCAAAACTTTTTTTGATCAGTGGAAATTATCACCATCATTTATTAGGGAAAACAATAAATTGCAACACAATCTTTTTAAAAAGTACCTTTTTTTTCTCCAGTAACTTCTTTGGCTTCACTAGCCTTTTTCCCATTTTTTCCATTAGGAAAGTACTTTTCAAATCCTGTTAGAAAAAAAAAAATCTCAAACTAAAATTCATCAGGTTTTGTGTAAGCTGACTTGTTTTTTAAAGTGTAAAACGCCTTGCCCAAGTACCTTAAAGTCTAAAGAACACAATTCACAAGCCAGAAGTGCTAAAGAAAGAAGCCTCCGTGTGAGGAATGCATCATCTGTAAAGCATTACAGGTGAAGGTGACACACCTCCACCTCTATGATAAGAAATGAGCGGGAGTAGGGGAGAGGACACAGGAAGGGGAAGAGGCGAAGTGTCACCCTGACCCTAAAGCATGACACACACTTGTAAACACCTGCTGAGGCCTCAGAAGAACACAGAACATGCTTAAGTACTTACCTTTGGGAGGACGGGAACAGAACCTCTGATATGCAGCAAGTACATCTGTCAGAAGAGGCTTTCTGCTGGCTGTCGCTTGTACTGTAGCATAGTGATAGAGCTACAACAGGACAGGAAAACAAAAGCATGAGGGTTACTCAACATACAAACATCAACTATCACAAAGCAGCTGATGGCTTCACATTCTACAGGTGCATACACCAGCACAGAAGACTGCCCAGGAGGAACCAGAGTCCCCTGACACCACTCTACTCTTCTAGCAACAGAGCAGGACAGACAGACATCATCATTCACAAGCAGCCCAATTACAACCATCCATGACACAGGTACTCTAGCAGTGTTTACCTGGTAGCACCGGAAAGGCAAAGTCTGACACCAAAAATCTGGGGCTTTGTGCTGACCCATTTTCAGGATCTGTAACAGTTCTGTTAAATCGATAGCTTCCCATCACTCTGACAAAGCACCAGACAAGAGAAGCAGGATGGTGGCTCGGCTTCCAAGAGTTTGGTCCATGCTCCTGGCCCTGTTGCTCTGGGTCTGGGATGAGGTAGCGCAGGGTGGAGGAAGTGTGCCATGGAGCAAAACCACTCGCCTCACACCCAAAGTAAAAGGAGGGGCTAGGTCCCTACCATCCTCCTCCAGGACCCACTCCAGAGACCTCAAGAGCTTGCCTAATCCCACTTCTAAGAGCTCTACTGTACCTCCCACAGTCCCACACTAGTGAACAAGCCAACACATGGACCCTGAGGGACATCTGTGATCCCACCTATGCCAATCCTCAAAACATTTATCCAAGGCCAAGGCCAGTGCTGCTTGCAAGGATAATAGTAAAATTTCCTTAACTCAAGAAGAAAGCCACGGCCTAACACCACTGATAACTCTTATATTAGCAATAAGTGGTAAAGATTTGTGATCTACTATTGCCAGGTAAGAATCATGTTACAGAAGTTCCACTATGGATATATTTTCACTTTATATAACATGTTACCAAAAAGTTTGTAAACAAGACTTAGGTAACACGAAGTATAATATAAACAAACCAGTAAGTGCTCTTAAATTTTTAAGGTGCACAACTACAAGCAATCAGTGTGGCAAGTGCAAGGTCATGAGTTCGATCCCCAGTACCAAAAAAATAAAAAATAAAAGCAATCAGTGGAAAGGGACATTGAGGAGATATATGCATATCTGGTAGAGAAAAGGCTAAAGTAATTTTTTACCATTTTGCAAAGTGAAAATTCAGCACCATGGCAGGGGGCAAACCATGGTATCAATGTTTAAAGCAAAGTTTAACTGTATTAGCATCCATTATCATTTGGCTCTCTGGTCTGATGAGAAAAATAAAACATAAAAATAAGGCCCTTCATATCCACTAGAGTGGCTACAATCAGAAAAACAAGTATTGGTGAGCCTACTGAGAAATTCCTACTCCCTATTCTTTTTCCCCAATAAATTTTCCTACTTAAAAAAAAAAAACGAGATACTAATTCACATAGGTTAGATTTAAAGCACCTTATCTTTGTTTAGCTTTATGTGTGATGACTTGAACTTTTTTTTTTTTTTTGTACTGGGGATGGAACTCATGACCTCGAGCTTACACCAAGCAGGTGCTTACGCCACTGAGCTAAATCCCCAGCCCCAACTTGAACATTTTTTAATTGCTTTTCACCAGTCTTACTCTATGGTTCCTGAGAAATAATATGCCAACACAGCAAAACCTTTTCCCCAGGTCCTCACAGATTGCTGCTCCAGACAGCATGATTTCTTCCTGATCTTTACCAGCGACATGAACCCAAGGACAAGAGTCTCCTATTAGACTGCCTCACTGGCACAGCCATCAAATGTCCACACCCAGGGGGACTATGTATCACTGACACATCCCCACCAGTGTGGACTGACTGACTTCCTTCTATCTCAGCATTGGTGACTCAGTGCCACACCGGAGGCACTGGAAAAAAAGGTGTAGGTAAGAGTCCTGCCATAAAAAGTGCAAACTCACAAGACAGATCCCTACCCACCCATGGCACAGGAGTCCCATATCCACTAGTTGCAACAGAAATGAGATTAGAGATTTTTTTTTTTTTGTACCGGGAATCGAACTCACGACCTCGCATTGCCAGGCAGGCGCTGTACCGCTGAGCTAAATCCCTTGCCCTCAGAAATGGGATTTAGGAAAAGTAAAGTGAGAAAATAGTCGCAATGCAAGGAACTGAAAAACGCAGCGCAGACAGTAGAGCAGGGAGAGATGCAGAGCAAGGGATAAACGCCAGGCTGGCAAGGGAGCCTCCAGGTAAGTTCATGGATGTAAGCACATTCAGCCCTTGCATACTGAAATTCTTGGATATCAAAACAGCCCGTAGAAAATACCGAGAAAAAATTTGTTATCTGTGGTGAACAGATTCGCCCCGACCCAGTCTTTACTCCCTAAACAGTATTGCCTAAGCACTAGGTATTTAAAAAGCGCTTGCATAGCTAGGCGTTACAACCAATCTAGAGATGACTTAAAGCATAAAGAAGAATGGGCGCAGGTTAAAGGCAAACCACTCTTATTTCCTGTCAAGGGACTGGATCTCTGCAGATATGGACGTGCCAGGGTCCTAGCACACCGTCGACACCACGGGACGGTGTACTATTACCCCCTTTGAAGTGGAGATGCTGCGCCTATACCTCCAGCACACTGGGCTGTGTAAAAGGGGTCGACCACGTTCCAGGGACCCCGGGCCTCACCTCAACCTCCACGCCAGTCGGACGGAGCAGGAGGCTATCACTGATCCCAGCGATCCCAGCTGTCAGTCCTGCCGCCAGTGCTATAGCCGCGAGACGCAAGCAGGTTCCGGTTGTCTGCACCGGCTGCTGCCAGGTCTGAGGCGGAGCCCGGGGATAGACGGGCAGCGTTCCCGACGCCAACCCCACTTCCCGCGTCCACCGCCCTCATGTCCTGGGCCCGGGAGCGGCGCGTTCACACGGGAACAGACCGGGGCCCCCGCCGGTGACCTTGAGACTGCCCAGACTAGAAGCCGCCCGTGGGACTCACCGTGGGAAGGCTGTTCCGCCCGCTCCGGCCCGCGCCGCTCCCCGGCATGAGCAGAGGTGCGAGCCCGCGTGGCCGGCAACCGCCCCGGCCCCACAGCAGCAGGCAGCGAAGCGCCATAGTGCCTGGCCAACTCCGGAAGAGCTGCGGCCCGCGGCGCGGCGCGGCGCGGCGCAGCCCGGCCCTCTCAAGCCCACGCGGCCAGCGCGCATCTGCGCCTGCGCCTCGGTCTGCGCCTGCGCCCGTACCACCCTGCGTGCGGACGCCGACGTCCCTCAGGGCGCCGTGGAGGCGGGGCCTAGCAACCTGCGCGGGGGCGGGGAAGGAGGCGGTGCCACACCTGGGGTGAAGGTGAGGCCTAGGGTCGGGGCAGCGTATAGAGGCGAGGCCTGCCACTGAGGCGGATCTTGGGGGCGAGGCAGGGGCGGAGCGGAGGCGGAGGCGAGGTCCGAGCGCGGATAGGAAGTGAAGCATGGGGCGGGGCGAGAGGTCGGATGAGGATGAAGTGGGGCCTAAAGGGTGGGGCTTAGGGTCGAGCCCTAGGGCAAAGCCTAGGAATGGGACGGGCCTGAGGCGGGGTCTGCGTGGGCGGGGATTTCTGGTTCCCGGGTGTATTTGGGGGGCGTGTTGTGGGCGGGGCGGCTTTGGACGCCTCGCGCATGCTATTGCTTTCTATCTCGTTGCGTAGCCATTCGATGTCTCGCCGTAGACCGTGCCGTCGGCCCCTGGTGGCACCTGAGAGCTTCCAGGCTGGTGATCGAGCGTGGTGGCGCGTGTCGGGCGGTGCGCTCCAGTCCCCAGTCGCGGCCTCTCTCCAGGAAGGCCTCGACGGAGCCGTAGCGGAGCAGCGCGCCGGGAGCAGCCGCGCCCCGGAGAGCTGTACCGGGCGTGCAGGAGGATGGCCCTGTCCCCAGCCCCGGTCACAGCTGGCCCTGCGCCTGTCCTGCACGGACGTCCGTCTGTCTATACAGATCTGGTTAAACTGGGGAGACCGCGCCCAGTGGTCAGTGCTGCAGCCTTCTTTTCAAGCAGAAGTAGCCGCTGCAGACACGCTAGACTTAACAGGGCCCTAAACCGCTAGGGGAGAAGAAAAAGTACTTGAAATACAGCTCTGGGGACGGTAAACGCGAGCAACAGCGAAGGACCCTAACCTGAGAGACAGGCACTGGGGGCCCAGGGGGGCCAGGGGAGACCTCGGTCTCACAGCGGAAGAGATGGGGCCAGGAGGCTGGGTAGAATCCTTATCCAGAATTGACAGGAGGTAGATATAGGAGAACATTTTAAATTATTGTCTTAACTGTTGTATAGTGTGCAAGAAACAAGACTAAGAGTCATAGAACTCAAAAAACAACACAACATAAAGAGATGTAAATTCAGTGTCTTAGATGAAAAAGACAAGATTAGTGAACTTAAAGGCAGCATAGAAACTGTTACAGCTTATATCCCAGATGTCACTCATAAGCCCCCTGTGCTCACAGAGTTGTTTTTGGGAGGTGATACTCATCAGAGGATTAGCCATCCAAATTGGAAAGGAAAAATAACATCATCTTTAGTCACAGATGACATTATCCTGTCTTATAAGTCCCGAATAACTTGCAAAAAGCTACTGGAACTATTAAACAAATTCAGCAAAGTGCACAATACAAGATCAAACACACACACACACACACACACACACACACAAAGATCAAACACAAAAATCAGTGGGTTTTTTTTTTTTTTTTTTGCATATCTGCAATGAATAAGAAACTAAGTTATCAATTCTACTTACAAAAACTCAATAAAATACCTGGGATAAATGTAGGCAAGGAGGTAAGAGACTTGCTCGCTGGAAACTACAAAACACTGCACTGTGGTCTACAGATGATGAAAGTCTTATCACAATTCTGACAGCGCCCTCCCCGCTCCCCGAAAAGGCTAATCCTCAAATGCCTATGGAATCATAAAGAGTCTCAAATACAGCCTTGAAAAATAAAGAATTCTTACTTCTGAAACACAAAACTGAACGTATTTGAAAGGTCCAGGCATAAGGGCGGACATACAGACTAAGAGAACAAAATTGAGACTCCAGAAGTAACCAGTATAGTTTGATTGATTTTCAATAAATGTTGAGTCTATTCAGTGGAGAAAATGCTCCTTTCAGCAGGTGGTTCTGGAGAACTGCATGCAAAAGAATGACCTGGAGCCCTACCTCACACCATCTGTAAAGCTGAAACAGACCCACACCCTAGCATAAGAAGTAGAACTATGAAACTTTGAAGAATAAAGAAATGTAAATCAGGGCTGGGGATTCAGTTCAGCGGCATAAGCACCTGCCTTGCAAGCAGGCGGTCGTGAGTTCGATCCCTGGTACCGATAAAAATGAAAAAGACCAAAAAAAAAAAAGAAATGTAAATCATGACTTTGGATTTTGCAGTGGGTTCTTAGGTATAAATAAAAAAAACACAAAATAGATAAAGCATACTTTACCACAATTTAGAACTTCTGCATATCAAAAATATTTTCAAGAAAGTGAAAAGACAATCTATACACTGGGAGAAAATATTTGCAAATTGTGCATCTGATAAAGGTTTCCTATTCAAAATAAATAAGGAATTCCTGTAACTCAGTAACAGAAGGACAATTTAATTCTTAAAGCAGGTAAAAGGCTAATAAGCATGTCTCTCGAGGGGGTGCACAAACGCCAATTAGCTGGGGCAGATGTGCAGCATCATTGGTGCCTGGGGTACTACGGTGAGATGTGACGTCACACTAACTGGAATGGCTGTCATAACTAAAAGCCAAAAAACATCAGGTAATAATGTTGTGAGGGTGTGGATAAATCGGAACCTGGATTTCTGATAGTGGAAATGTAAATGGTGCAGCTGCTTTGGCAGTTTTTTAAAAGCCGAATGCTGCGTTACCATGTGACAATATGGCACCAGTGGTTCCTCGCCTAGATGTATGTCCAAAAGAATAGGGCTTCAAACACACCTGTAGACCACCATCCATAGCAGCATTATTCATGACAGAGAGGAAGCAACCCATGCACCCTGTGATGGACAAGGAAGCACAATGTGAGACCTATAATAAAATACTACTCAGCCATAAAGAGGAGACTCCAATACACACAACAGCACAGATGAGCCTTGAAAACCTGCTGAATGAAATAAGCCAGACACAAAAAGGACCTGAGGGATGAGGCTCTGTGTTTTGGGAGCTTTGGTATACGTTACTGCGCAGCTGCATGTGTGAACTATTGATTTACATCTTCTAAATGATGAAAACCAAAGGCAATCTGATTATCCTCTTACAGCTGTATGTAAAAATGGGCAGAAGGGCTCACAGACAGGCGGCCAGGGATGGGGGTCCTGTTGCCTAAATAAGTGCAAGAAGAGATGCCAGACGCCCTTAGCCACCAGCGAAGGCAAAGCAAAAGCACAGGGATTCTATTTCACACTCCCAGTGGCTCTAATAAAAAAACATAGATAATATATACTATTGTTAGGAGTGAGAGGAAACTAGAATTCTCCTATGCAGGATAATAAAATGCTTTGGAAACCCACCCAGCAGGTTTTTGAGGAAAAAGGTTACACCTGGCTGGGCGTGGTGACTCACACCTGTAATCCCAGCACTCAGGAGGCTGAGGCAAGAGTATTGTTGTTAGTTCAAGATCAGCCTGGGCTACAAAGTGAGCTCAAGGCCAGCCTGAACTGCATAGCCAGACCCTGTTCCAAAAAGACAAAACAAACAAGTTACACCTAGATTCCCAGAGGACTGGCTTGTGGCCCAGCCTTTTCCGGCGGAGCAAGAGACTCACAGCTCGCAGCATTCCGCACAGCAATGTTTGTGATGGCCCCAGTGTGGACAGAAACAGCGTCCACCAGCTAAGGAGAGGGTGGATGATCGCTGCTGTGTCTTCACAGTGATCATCATCCCACTACAGCAGGAAAGGACTGACATACAGGCCGGCTACAAAGGCCTGTGTGACTCCACCTGCTCCACAGAGTTCACAGACAGTAGCCAGGAGCCAGAATAGCAGAGAACTGCAGGACACCAATGTCACTGCAGAGACCACAGCACACATCCCCGGGTGGCTCAGCCTGTGCCCCTGATGTTTACTTTTTAAGACCCCGTGAACACATTTCCTATTCACATGAAATTCAATAAAAACTAAAACTAGTAAAAGATGCTACTTTTCTTAGTACTGAGATTTTCACTGATGTTCACAACAAATCTGGTGCCTGTGACACACACATTTTCTAATTATCCTATAATATGTAATAGTTTTATAATTAACAAGACTCCTAAATGTTTTGTTACAGAAGAGGTTTTACAATGGAAACAGTCTCTAAGTGTCTTTCTTACTGTGTTGTGTTTACACAGTTAATGTACATTTACAAACATAGGAAATGTGTTTACCCACCTTGAACTTTCATGTAATATGTATCTCTGTGTGCTAATAATATAGTTCCCTCATTTTTTTTTGTCTTTTTCATTTTTTATCGGTACCAGGGATCGAACTCACAACTGCTTGCTTGCAAGGCAGGCGCTTATGCCACTGAGCTAAATCCCCAGCCCCTGTTCCCTCATTCTTTAATCAGCTGTGTGTTCTACTGGAAACCTCATTCAGACAGCATCCATTTATTTCCATTTCAGATGCTGCAGTGAACAGTATTCTTGTGCGTGTACATGCACGTGCCTGTATCCACTCAGAGGATTTCCTGCAGAACAGCGATTATTTACTAATCACTTTTTAGAAATAAATTTCCAAGTTTTAGGGCAAGAACTTTGTTGTTGCTTGGGTGCACTGTGGTGCACACAGACTTTCACTAGATGGCAGAAGAGGGTCATGAATGAGTGTCGTAACTTCTCTGGCTGTTTCTTTGATCAAATGATTTTGCTGTAGTTCAGAGTTCTCTAACAACCCTAACCCCTCTGTGCCTATGAGGAAAGCGATGCAGCATTTTCCAGTGGTACTCATGACCCTGCTGCCATGGCCTGCGGAAAGGCAGCTAACAAGACTCACGTGCAGCTAATGCTGTCCAGGTGATGAATCTTGATAGGGATGCCAGGTGTTAAGGTGCAGGGAACATGAACGACAGCACAGAACACTGAGAATATTTCTTGTCATCACTTTGTGAGCACTTACTTATTTTTTTTTACAAAAGGGACTTTATTTGTAAAAATCCAAAGGGGCCCCTGGAAAAACAGGACAGGCAGGCCGGCTTCTCATGGGTCAGGGGCATTTGGGCAGATGCACTTGAGTGGGGGGGGGCGCCCTCCAAGTCCTCTGTGTTACCCTGGCCGCCTCAGGGACAGGTGGCACTGGCTCAAAGACAGGGTAAGCTTCAGGAGCCTCAGCTTCTAGCAATTCTGGATGGGTTCCTCCTTGGTCAGCATTGGGGGTTCATCAGTCCCCCCTGCAGGTATGGCCGCGGGTTCTCTCTCTTGGCCCAGCAGTGGGGGCTGAGCCTCCTCAGTGACCCCTTCTGGTAGTCTAGCAGGTGACACAGGGCGGCTGTGCTGGGGGGTGCCCCCAGGACTGGGCTCAGTGCCCTTTTGCAGGGAGCCTTCGGAATGGAAACTCTGGCTGCTATTCTCATCATTGAGATCCAGCAGGATGAGAGGGCCACCTGTTCGGGGACTGGTGCCCCTGCCACGCCTCTCTTGGCCATGGGATCTTTCAGCCCTAGCACCTGCCTGCCGTGGCTCCTCCTCCTGGGAGTCCACCATGGGACTTGAAGATACGAAGATACGAAGGGAAGTGTCACTCACTGTCACCCAGCACTTCTCCCATCGCTGGACCTTCTTGATGGTTGCCATCGCCATCACCTTCTTGACGTCATCTTTGGCCTGGCTCCAGGTCTCAGCCTGCACAGTCCTGCCGGCCATGGTAGCAGCGCTGGGGCCCTGGCCGAGTCTGTGGCAGGACTGCCTCCCGTCCGTCCGCGGGATTCACATCAGACCCCGGCGCCGCTCTTGCAGCCTGATATCCCTCGAGCAAACATTTAGACCACATTGGCCACGATAGTGGACTACAGTGACCAGCGGGGTGACAGCTGCCTGTGGACAGCCCAGGGCCTGAGCCCCTTGCCTTGCATGCAACTTAACAGTTCCTTCACCTTCCCCGACTGAGTCTCCTGCCAAGGAAGGGGTGCTTGCTCTGCGTGTCAGCCTCCGTCCTCAGGTCCTCAGAGCTCAGGCCCCCGCAGGGATGAGTTTCGAGCCAGAAAGGAAGTGATTTACCAGGCATGTGCTGAAAAGCTGTGTCAGCTCTGCCCACAAGCAGACTGCAAAGCAAAAGATGTGCTTTGAAAAACCTGACTTCAGGAATTTGAGATAGGGTTTGGCAAGAGGAAATATGTGACACAATAAAAGGTCACACCAGTACCTTGTTTTTAGTGCTGTGCTAGGATATTAGAGGCTCAAGGGAGATCTCAAAATGACCTTGGATTTCAGTTTTTGCTTTTTTTTTTTTCCCAGTGCTGGGATTCAACCGCTGACGCCCCTCCCCCACGCGCTCAGTAGGGTGACATCAAACCTCAGACCAGTGGCAGGAACTCTGGTCTGCTCTGCACTATCACTGGTTGATGGCGAGGTAAATAAAGTATTTTCTCTCCCTGCCCCGGCTGATCAGTGCCTGGCTCTGCGACAGTCCCTGGGTAAGCAAGACCTGAATAGGTGAGAAGCAGCTCCCCAGCTTCCTCATACCTCAGCTTCCTCACACCTCCTCCCTGGCTGGAAGTCAATTCTCTCCCTGTTCTGTAAACACTGTTCTGCTACTACAACAATTTTAAACTCATTTTATTTTTAACAGCAGTGTCTTTTGTAAGGAATGGAATTGTGATATTTAATATAGAGACTGAACAAAATGCATTTGGGTGTAGCTCAGCACTTACCTGGCGTGTGCAAGGACTTGGGTAGGCTCCATGGCTACCGCGCGTGTGTGAACACACACATACACACACACATAGATGGAAGGCAGGAGCTCTCTGTGATCAGTAGGATCACACGGTTTCCCAGCTGGCGATTTCAGGAGTTGTGGAGTTTCTGTCACCCAGGGAAGGTGCCCTGGCCCCTGCCAGCCTCCAAACTTCCTAGGTGCCATCCTGACTTGCTGAAAGGGCAGTGTGCAAACACCTCTAGCCTCAGGACTGGCCGGAGCCTAGGGTACAGTGGAGACCACCCTCAGTGCCTGACATCGTGGACCTGAGTCTGAGTGCTGCTCTCCCAAATTGAAGGCGGTCGTGATAGCCTGGGCTTCTCGCTCCCCAGTGCAGCCGAGAACCACCCTGCACAGGTTAAAGCGGAGCCCAGAAACGGGCTTCTCAGGAAGCAGGAGTCTGGTGGGAGCAACAGGGACAGAGTCAGGGACACGCGTGGCAACAGGGGCTGCAGGCGCCACCCTGGACAGTCATAACTCTCTGGTGGGGGCCACCCTCCTGTCACCAGAAGTGGGCTCCAGGCAGGTGGGGCAGGGATGAAACTCGGCTGGGCAAGCTCTTACCTATCAGCGCTAAAGAACCTTCATCTGATCTCTTCCTTCGTGCGAGTGCCCGAGGGTGGCTCCCCCAGCATTCGGTTTGCTGGATGGCGACGCTGGCGTCTGGAGAGAGAGGACCAGCGAGTCCAGGCTTGCTCCAGACCGACACCAGGGGCAAGTGCGTCCCCAAGGACCAGAGGACAGGGGTGCTGTGGGAGCCGGCAGGAGTAGGGGTGACCCCTGCCTCGTGCATGAGAGCTTGGCGCCACTCCAGGAGGACCGCGACTCACGGAGAGGAATCTGCCTGGGAGGAAAAGGCGCGGACCCACAGTGGTGAAGCTCACCGCGGTGGACCGGGAGCAAGGCCGTTCCAGGTCTCCTGACCCAGCTGGCACCTGGCTTCCGGGCACAAAGCGGGGGCAAGCGCCTCCGCACCCCCCGAGCTGGTCGCGGTCGCGGAGTGCCAGCAGTCCCTCGGCGGGCGTCTTCCCCGCGGTATGGGGCGGTGGCATCGAGAGGGTCCCTGCTTATTCAACGGCCAGCCGCTTTCGCCCTGGCCACGTAGTGGTGCAGTCTCTGTGGGCTGGCCTGGCTCTGCGTGGCACCCCCTGGCGGCAGATGTGAAAGGGGACCTGCGAAAGATAAGCCAGTCCCGGCGTACCTGTACCCGCGTCCCTAGTCCCAGCCGGGTCCACTGCCTCGCACTTGCTGGCTCCAGCCACGTGACTGGGGCGGTAGCAGGCCCCCTGAGGTCACGTGACATGACGGTGTCCAATCGCAGCTGGTCTACGAGATGAGGGGCGGATCCTAGCTTTGTGCCCCGCCCCCGCGCCGGCGCCGCAATTTGGGGAGGGGGAGAGGAGGGGCCGCCGGGGGCGCGCACCGCGGGCTGCAGCGCCGCCGCCCGCAGCCGGACCTGCTCACCCGCGGCGGCGATGAGGATCTGGAACTCCGAGCACGTGTTCGGGTGAGCAGGCAGCGGGCGGGCGGTGCGCGCGACGTCGGTGGGGTCTCGGCCGCGGTGCGGGCGGTAGGGGTCAGGGAAGGACCGATCTCCTCACCTTCCGTCCCTCCTTTTCCCTTCTCTTCCATCCCCCTTTCCTTTCCCTTCCTCCCTTCTCTCGCTGCTACCCCTCCCTCTCCTCTCTTCTCCCTACCACCCTTACCTTCATCTGTCTTTATCGTGCGAGCGTGTCGCGAGTGGGAATCCAGCCAGGGCGTTCCCTGGGCCGCCTGGGTGACAGGCCTGCGCATGGGATCTGGGACCTGGCTCCTGGGCCCAGCGTCCAGAGTGCAGTCTCGCAGGGCCTTTTGAGGAGCTCAGATTTTCAGATTCTGGAGCCCAGCAGAGGAGGCTTGCGTCGGGAGGCTGGGGTGGGTGGGGGCTGGGAGGGATGACCTGCGTAAGATGGAGCTGGCATCCTTTGGCCTTAAAAAATCCAGAACGCTAGTCAAAGCGCATGGGCCAGCGTGGACTCTTTGGGCGCGTCCTCTGCGGGCTCCAGGCCTGTGCCCTGGCCCGGTGTCCCAAGATGTTCAGGAGAGGCCGGCTGAGGAGCGCTGCTCACCCTCTTGTCTCTGCCTTCAGTTTGTTTTTAAAGTTTTATTGAGAGTCACCGTTCATGGGACTCAACTCCCGTCCTGTAAGCACCCATTTTAAAGTGTCCATCCCAGCCCAGTGCAGGGCATTCTGGGAGGCTGAGGCTGGAAGACTAAAACTGTGCAACTTAGTCAATTAGGAGACTCTGTCTGTGAATGTTTGGGACATTGCTGGATGTGACAACCCTGGGTCGGTCCTCAGTACTGGTGCAGGTGTGGCCATAGCCCGGTTTTAGGACTTTTCCATCTCCGAGACCCTCATGCACATCTGCAGCCTCCTCCACGTTCCCCAGGCCACCATTCATGTGCCCTGGGCATAACCTGCACCTCGAAGGTGCTGGGCATCAGAAGTGTATGGCCAGCAGTGTCCCTGGGGTTCCCCAGGGCTCAGGAAGCTGGCAGGAGCAGTGAGAGGACTGGAACCAGTGGGAGGAGCTGGGTGCCCGCTCTCCCCACCCCTTTCTCCTCCTGGGGGCAGCCGAGGAGGCTGGGGATTTGCCGACCTCCTTCCCCAGGCCTGGGTGTGCAGGGCTGCTGACTGCTGCCTCTGTGCGAAGGTCCTGCACTGCTGTTGTTTCCTGGCACACGCAGCAGTGGCAGCATTGTGGACAGCCCGCCGGGCTGCTGTTCCTCCTTCTCAGTCGTACAGTTGTGGTCCAGCCCTTCTGAGATAAGTTGGTCTCAGTGCAGGTGTGGGAGGGTTGGGGACACTGCAGTGTCCCGCCTGTGCATATGCTGCAGCTGATCCTTCCTGGGACTCGGGGGACGTAAGGGTCCCTGGACACAGCACCCCCAGCAGCCAGCCCTGGTGTCTGTGGTCCACTCAGCCAAGGGCCTGTGTGGCCAGCAGCTCTCAGGCTGTTGAGGGCACTTTCCTCCCTGGGAGGATATCTGTCCTGGACTGGTTTTATCAGTGTGGGTTCTATCAGTGCCTGTGGGGTTACACATCACTGTCTCCTGTGGTTTGGCTCTTTGGTCCCCAAACCTCACACAGAGTAAGGCTTGTGGAAGGTGACTGGATCTTGAGGCACTGTGTTTGTCAGTGGAGTAACACAGATAGTAGTCCGCATTCTGGTCCTCCCATCTCTGACCAGTGCCTCCTGTCAACCTCAGCTTACAACTTTCTCAGGTTTCTGTAGCTGGTACCTCCAAACCTTTTAAAACTCATTCCCAAGAAACAGGTCAAAGGCTCCTAAACCACAAAGTCAGGTAATCATAGCAATTCCCCCACTCCTGGTACCACTGTTTGTAGTTGGTGACAATCAGAATAAATTATCGTAAGGGCCTGGTTAAACATGTTCACCCACAGGATGACCTGCTGTACCGCCATTTAGAATTATGGTTTTGAAAATACCTGCACAATGTAGGTGAGTGGCCCATCAGCTATAAAAGATGTTCAGTGAGCCCATATATTGAATATAACCTCAGTATTTTTTGCAGTGTGTGTAACGTGTTCCGTACGTGTGTTTTGTGCGCATGTGTGTACTGTGTGTGTGTATATCAGGCCTTGGGTCTAGGTGTGTTTACACGTGCTATTCATCATTGTCTGGGAGCTGTGGAGAAAGGCTGCCTTTGTGGGGAGACCTTTTTGCACAGGGGGCTCACAGGTATCCCCCAGGAACCTGCTGAGGTCCCGTGTGCCCCTGCTCATGGCCTTGCCGCCATCTGTCCTGAGGAAGTCAGGCAGGTGTTGTGAATGTGAGGGTTGTGCATGCCAAATTGTTGACAGGGCGATGTGGGAAGTGGTCTTAAGTCTTTTAAATGTTTTCTTGTATCATTATTTTTCAAAACTTGAACACTTCTTGTGATCTAAAGATGTGGCAGTTTCTAGTCACACACGTGCAGAGGTGGGAACCAAATCCAAGGTCACTCGCTCCAACAGGTCCTGTCCTGTGCCCCGCACAGGAGAAGAAGGGCAGGGGCCCAGCCTGGGTGGCGGGAAGGTGGCCACTCTTCCTCTGGCTGGTGCTGACTCACTTTCTGCAGCCACCCATGGGACACAGTGATCAAGGCGGCCATGAGGAAGTACCCGAACCCCATGAACCCCAGCGTGGTGGGCGTGGACGTCTTGGAGCGCAGCGTGGATGGCTGGGGGCGGCTGCACAGCCTGCGCCTGCTGAGCACCGAGTGGGGGCTGCCTAGCCTGGTCACTGCGGTGAGGCACTGTCCCAATGCTCTCCCTCCTGCAGGGTTTGTCCCCTGGCTCCTGCCTTGGCTGCCCTAGCAGCCCTGCCCGCTGGGCCTCTGGCTCCGTCCTCCTGGTGAGGGACCCCTTCCTCTGGGCAGAGGTGCTCTGCGAGGCTGGTTCCTGTCCCTGAGTGGCTGTGGCCTCAGCTCCAGGACACCCTCCCTGGTGACTTCCCTGGTAGGATTCAGGTCACTGGGTTACCATCTCACTTCTGTCACCTCTGGGAAGGCCAGAGTCCAGTTGGTCACATTTGCAGGCGCTTGGTGGAGGTGTTCACACAGGCGTTTGTGGGACATAGGTCCCCTGTAACAGCCTCTTCCTCAGGCTGCTGGTGAAGGACAGTGTTCCATGCCTAGTGCCCTGACCTGTATCCATCACAGGGCCCCTTGTCCTGGACCTGTGTCTTTGTGGCCAGCACTATCCAGAGTCCGGCTAGTATCTGCTGCTGCTCTACCCCACAGCCATGTGGTTTCGGTCAGAGCGTGAACTGTCACACTCAGCTCTGGACTCTGCATCTGTCACCTTCACGGGTGTCAGAAGCACCTGTTTCAGGGTTATGTCCCTGGATGTGCCAATCGTTGGGTAAGTGAATTGGGAGATGGAACTTGGAGCATGTCATTGTGCCAGTTTTGTCTATGTTTCTAGATTTTGGGAACCAGTAGGACCTTAACGTACATCAGAGAGTGCTCTGTGGTGGACCCTGCGGAGAAGAAAATGGAGCTTTGCTCCACCAATGTAAGCGGCGGCCAGGGCAGAGGGACACTGGTTCTTCTCTGGCTGCCCGGGTGTGTGTGGCTGGGGCTCTGTGGGCAGACTGAAGCCGCTTCGCAGTGTTCTGTTTACTCTAGTGCAGGAAATGCATAGGAAAATGCAAGACTCCAGCCAAAAGGAGAACCGAGTCCCATGTGCCAGTCACCTGGGGCTGCATGGATGGCTGGGTCCCCAGGGTGTCTCATGGCCTCCCCTGCCTAACACTCAGCCTTCAGCCCAGCTGAGCACTGATTTGGGGTGCAGACTCCAGGCAGGACCAGGGAGGAGGGCAGGAGGCACAGAACCTGACAATGTCTCTCTGCAGATCACTCTGCGGAACCTGGTGTCGGTGAACGAGAGACTGGTATACACCCCACACCCGGAGCACCCCGAGAAGTGAGTCCCAGCCTGGGGGTGCGCAGAGTGGCCTGGGGGCCTCGGAGTGGCCAGCCTAACTCCTGTACTCCTGTAGGACGGTGCTCACGCAAGAGGCCATCATCTCCGTGGAGGGTACAGGCCTCGGCCGCTACCTGGAGAGCTTGATGGCCAGTACCATCTCTTCCAATGCCAAGAAGGTGAGCCTGGGCCCTGCTTCCTGCTATGGTGACCGTGGCAGTGATACCATCATGGCCCCTGCGGTGCCTCCTCGGCCAGGTCTGGGGTGAGCCCATGCAATGGAGGAGGAGCAAAGGTGTCACTGTGCCTGGACGCTGGGGAGCAGAGGTGGCCAAGAGCCTGGCCTTGGTGACACTCGCTTTCGGGCTTTTCCTTGGGCCACACATCTTTGCTCTGTGCCCCCTATCTTCATGGCTCCATCTCCACCTGAGCTCCACTGGGGCTGTGCTTCCCACCCTGTTGAAGCCACTGACCAAAGTCCAGTCGGATGGCAGAGCCAGGCCATGGGTCTGAGGAAAAGCCTACAAGGAGCAGTACATGTCCCGGCTGGGTCCCCTCCTCCCATGCCTCTCAACTTGGCCAGGTGGAGCTGCAGGTTTGCTGAGAGAGCACCCTGGGAGGAAAGGAGACGAGGCTGTCACCAGTGAGGCTTCTCAAGAGGAAACCAGGGTGCCCCCGAGCTGTGGCCAGGGTGACACACTTGCCATTATCCCCGGTGATGGTGCTGGGGAGGGACAAGGATGGTAGTGTCCTGGCCTTGCTGCGTGGGCATGGCAGCTCTGGCACAGGCTTTGACACCTCAGGGTCGCACTGCGGGTCTGTGTTGGTGATGGGAAGGCCGCACGTTGGGTGCAGGGCCCAATCAGTATTGTCCTGTGTTCCTGTAGGGCTGGGCGGCTATCGAGTGGATCATTGAGCACTCTGAGAGCGCCGTGAGCTAAGGGCCACGTCTGTAACCGCTGGTACAGCCTCGGCGGGACCGGTGGGTGTGCGCTCCACTGTATTGCAGGGATGTGGCCTGCTCCATCACCTGTGTTCCCCTGCCCTGCTGCAGATGCCTAGGGCCGGGCTGCCAGATCTCCACACACTTGTGTCCAGCTTGGGAAAGACAGAGGCCCCCCCCCCCCCCCCGCAGGACAGTCTGGTCTGAGGCTGGCCCAAGGGCAGCTGTGGGTAGAATTTGCAAATTTTTACTTGGTGCTGGATGGGACCAGGACCCCAGGCGCGCTGGGCAGTGCCATCACTGACCTGTCCCCAGCCCCGCATGCACACACATCCTTGGGGAAAGTTCGTGGTTTTCAGCTGCTGGCATCACCTTCTGTGTCCCCAGCTTCTGCAGCCTGTGCTGGGCTGAGCATGTTGGCTACCCTCCCTCTGTCTATTGGTCTCTCTGGCCCTGCCCCTGTGCTACCTTGGTCTCCGTGGTCAGCTGCCTGTGGAGCTCAGGCGAGGGATGCAGCTGCTCATGTTGCCCAGCTGCTGAAGCAGTGGTTTCCAGACTCTGCCTCTACCTTGATCCCAGGCCTGCTTGGGGCTGTGCACCCATGGGGAGCTCATAGGGCTAGGGCTTGTGTGCCTGCTGTGTGCCCCTGTGAGCTGTGGGCTCTGAGCTTTTGTGTCCCCAGGAACCAGCACTAAGCTGCCTCTATCTGTAACCGGATCCTCCCTGATGGAGTCGAAAAAGGTGGGCGTGGAGAGGATGACAGCAGGCAAGGCCATGGTGCTGCCATTTGGGAGAGGAGAAGCCTGCGGACCCCAGAGACCTTGGCTTTGAGCCCCGCCCAGGCCTACGGAGCCCAGACCACCACCCTGGGTGAGGACATTGCCTTGCACCCACCCTGAGGCCTGGTGCCAGAGTCTCCTGCCAGCCCCAAGTGCCTGTCCTGCAGGACTCCACTCTCCCCTCTCCTCTGGCAGGGCACTGGGCACAGGGTGGTGGGAATACATGCACTGGGTGGTGCCAACAGCATGCCAGGCAGGTGACACCGGAAGCCCAGCACCCTCCTCTAAGGCTGTGTCAGCCCCTGGCTATTTCTTCCGTGGGGAAAACTGCGGCTCCCAGCAGTCTTTGGGGGACCTGGCCACGTGCTTGGCTTGGGGCTGGCATCACTCACAGCGTCTTGCTTGAGCTGGGGCCTTTGCAGGATTTAAAAGTGGGTGACTTTGCCTCACATGTCTGCCTCACCTTGGACAGGCACAAGCTCAGAGGGGCCTTGCTGCTGGGGTCCCCACAGAACCCCCCAAAATCACCGCTTCTGGCCTGAGCCAGTGTTCAGTTCCCAGCACAGGTAGCTGGGGGTAGGGGGAGATTGCCTTTACAGAGAGGGTGCCCTTTGCCCTTCCCAGGGCCTAGGGCACCCTTGGCTGCATAGAGCAAAGCAGATCTTTCCACAACAGCTTCCTTGCCCTTTTCTGTCAGTGCTGCCCAATTCCCAGATGCAACCTGCATCCCTGAGACCTGTCCCTATACTGGTCCCCACAATCTGGTGTCAGCCAGCGGCTTGGCCTGGTTCTATTCCCCTTAACCCCGTGCAGTGTGGGTGCTGGGCTCCCAGGGCTGGCCTTTTGTGGGCTGTGTGGTGGTACTGGGTTGACTTGGGGACGGGGTCCCACGGGATAAGAGCCTTGCTGCCCCCGTTGGGGACACTTGGCCTCAGAATGGTCCGTGGGGCCTGCAGCTGGGCATGAGGCTGCCTGCAGCCCCTCCCCAGTGTCTGCCGAGGGCTGTTGCCCACCTCCAAGCCTGGTGAACCTCCCACCTACACCTCTGTGCTGTCGCCTGCTGTGGGGCAGTGTCCCCCATTCGGAGGCCTGGGCCCCCTCCTGGCCCCTGGACATCTCCCCACAGAGTGTCCATCACTGCTTCTTTCCCTGAGATGGGTATTGTCAGGGCAACCCTCCCTCCTGTCCCCACATCGCTGTGGGGTCTCTGAGCCCAGGTGTTTGCACCTTGTCATAGACAGCCACCCAGTGGGACAGAGGCAACTGCTGAGGGTGCCCAGCTTGGCCACCGGCACTGGAAGGGCTGGGCTGCAGCTTTGCAGAGAGCCTGGCTCAGCGTGCAGCGCCCGCGGACTTAAATATGGGACATGCTCAGAGAAGGGGACCAGGCCAGGGCAGCACAACTGTGTCCTTGTAGTCCCAGCTATTCAAGAGGCTGAGGCAGGAGAATTACTTGAGCCCAGGGATTCAAAACCAGCCTGGACAGCATAGCATGAACCATGTCAAAGAAAAAAAAACTTTAAAAATTGTGTATTAATAAAAATACAGTTAGCGCAGACTGTGCAATACCATAAAAAGTTTAATTTCATGATTTTCTTACTGATTGTTGGCCAATTATCTTAATGTGGCAAATTTCAGACGGTTTTGAATTTACTGCAGTTAAAGTGCTGTGTGAGAGGCTCTGCACATGAACCCGGCTGTGCTGGCTCTTCACAGCCTTGGTGTCCAGCTACCGAGGCCTATGTGGTATGGCGCCGGCCCGGCTGGCTGAGCCACAGCGGCCCATGTCCAAGTCTTGCTCTTTGCTTTCGTTGCTGCTGTGGGGAGGAGTGGCGTCCACCTGCCTGGGAGCAGCCAGACACGGCTGGCATCCTGAGGGCTTGTCCTCATTCCGTTGGGAACCTGCTCTGGCATGGGCATCCACATGCTGTCCCTGTTCCAGTGAGTGCGGGGCTCACTGAGGGGAGGGTGTGGAGATGATGCCGGGAGGGAGCTGGACATGCCAGGCTGCTCAGCAGGTGGTGCCCCTGTTGGCTATTGGGTGCTGGTGACTGGATGTCCCCAGTCTGTCCAGCTCAGGGTCAGGCTGCTGAGGGCTGGGTGAGAAGGCAGGGTTGTGCTACATAGTGGGAGATGTCGCTTGTGAGCCAGACTCCCGAGAGCCACTTTTGTTCCCAAAAAGCGGCTCCCCTTGTCTGGCAGGTTGAGGAGCTGCCATGGCAGCCACCTGCCTCCTTCCCTCGCAGGTCAGGGAGTGCGCTCAGGACCCCGTAGGTGGACACCAGGCCCAACGGCTCTGACAGCGCGTGGCCACCCACCTTTTTTTTTTTTTTTCCTGAATATCCTTGAACTGAAAACCCACCTTTCTGAAGTTGCTGCCCTAACAGCAGCTTAGAGCTTGGTTTTCCCGCCTCGAGTTTCACGTGAGCACAGCACATGCTGTCCTTCGCTTCCCTCCACATTACGCTGTTCAGTTCGCAGTCCGCTTTGCCCCACCCGAGGACACAGTGAGGACTCAGGGTCACTCACACCCCCTCCCCATCAAGTGGCCTAGGTGTTGCCCTCACCGGGGTTGACCAGTTGCCACCAAGCATGAGCTGTGCAGTCATAGCAGCTTGAGGGTCAGGGCTGATCCTGGTGCCTGGCCAGTTGCACAGCTGTGCTTAGAGTGAAGGGGGCAGAGCTGCGTATGTGTGGGACTCGAGGGCCATTGGGCCAGGCCCTGTTCAACCCATCACTTACCAGAGCCAGGCACTGCCAGGAGGGGGGCTACACAGTGCGGTTCTGCCCCATTGGTTTCCATTCATAGGCTGAGGGCTTCCTGGGTCCCCAGGAGGTGAACACAGCCATGTCCTCCAGCCTCTGTCATACCTGGTCGTATACAGCAGGTGATGCCAAGCCACAAGTTGCCCAGCGCTTTTGATGCCCATTCTCCAGAGCAGCCAGTGGCCCCAAGTCCACCTCTAGTTGGGCTCTTGGTGGGGGATGGGCTGAGCTTCACTGGAAGGTGTCCCCTTTTCAGTGTACAGGGGTCTGCCCCCTCAACGCATCCTGGGGTACACCTTATTGTGCTGACCCTGACTCCAGGGTGGAGTCTAGTCCTCTCTGGAGTGGCTGCTGCCTCTTGGCAGGTGGCAGCCCAGGGAGACTGGTGGCTCCGCACCCTCCCTGAGGGCCCACCTGGGGTTTCTCAGCCTCTCCGCCCTTTTCCCTGAACCGGCTCCACCTCAGACTCCAGCTTATGATTCACTGCACAGTATTCTAATGAGGCAGCCGTGGATGACGCCACCCCGTAGTTGCTTGCAAATCAGGACTAGGCCTCGTGCGCCCAATTTGGCAGCAGCATCGACACTGTGCCTGTGCCACCCAGGGCCAGTGGGCACATGTGCTACAGATAGGCCAGACCTGGTGCCTGGCCTGAGACTTCTCTGTGGAGCTGCTCACTAGGGCAGTTACCACTGTGAAGCTCTTCTTCTGGGGGAGCCATGCACATGTGTGGACATGTGGGATGAGTGGACACACATGCACACACATTGATTGTGAGGCAGACACACAGGGTTGAGGGGTGGACACTCATACAGATGTTGCTAGCCACATCTCCCAGAGCATCAGTACAAGGTGCTCCTAAAGAATGTCAAGAAACAGCTGTGTAAACAATATCAAACTCAGTATCATGTAATGTTTGCGATACAGTCAATGATGGCATTCTACTTAACATAAAAACGTAAGTTCCTACACTCACGTGTATCCTTTGAGGAATGTGCTTTAAAAAGTATACTGAAAGCTGGCCATGGTGGGCTGTAGGAAGCAGAGGCAGGAGGGTCTCTGAACTCAGAAGTTTGGACCCAGCCTGGAGAAAGAGTTGGACTCCATCTCAATAAAACAAACAAAAAGAAAAGCTCATCACGTTGCATATAATAAGAGCGCAGTGCCGGGCATGGGGGTACAAGGGAGGATGAGGCAGCAGGACTGCTGCGAGCTTAAGGCCAGCCTAAGATACACAGTGAAACTCAAAAAGACAAAAAAATAAAAACAGCACAGGCTGTTCTGTCTCTCCTCTCTACCATAGCTTGAGCATTACCTAACCACTAGCGGGGTCAGAGTAGCGCTGCTCAGCGGCACCAGTCTTCGTGGCAGGCCCGCTGCCACCAAGATGGCCCTTTTGGCCGGTCACCAAGAACAGCACCAGCATGGCAGGTGCACATGCAGGAGAATGGAGACACCAATGTGTCCCTGTGCACACTGGGAAATAAAACATCTTCTCAGAGAACACAGCGACTTCACCCTGAGACCCACACCTCTACTTCCATACTTGAAGACCCCGTACCACAGCCTCGACCTCCTGCCCTTCCCAGGGCACTGCAGGAAGTCCTCATATGTATTAAGGTAGTTAGGAAAGTGAGCGCCTTAAAAACATCACCGACAATTCCCACTGCTAATCAGTGTCCTCAAAGGTAGGGGACCACCTTCTGGCTCACCAGGAAAGATGGGGTGGGAGCTCTGCACTGGTGCTTGCCCTGGGTCTCAAATGTCCTCTGCCTGCATCCTCAACACGTGATGCTGACCCTAGGTAACTCATGCAGGGGGCAGTGTCTGGCCTCCGATCTGCAGGGAGGGGGTGGGGTACAGCTAGGGCTGCGGGAACAGCCAGCAGGGGACCCCTCCGCTCAGTGGGGATGCTGCCTTCTCTTACTTGGCCTCGAGGATTTGAGGCCCAGCCCTGGTAAGAAAAGAGGCCATCGAAAGCCTGGCCCTGGCTGTGAAGGGAGCAGGCACACATGCACTGGTCGCTGCTGAGGGAGCAGAGGGGGTGCTTACTTGGCGAGGGCGGTGTCTCACACTGGAACACAGGCAGCAAATAGTCACTTCTGAAAGCACATTATCCTAGGCTTGTTTATCTTTATGGTGGTCGTTTTGTTTTTGCAAGGCTGGGGATCAAACGTAGGGCCTGACACATGTTCTACAAGTGCTCGGCATGGAGCTGCGTCCCCAGCCCTTGAGTTTTGATTTGGAGGCAGGGGCTCACTAAGCTTCCCAGCAAACCACAGGGAGGGTGTGGCAGTGTCCGCACCAGCACCCTGTATGAGGCTCACTTCAGCTCAAGCTGGGCCGGGTAGTCTCTTGCCAATACAGTTTTTAAAGCTCCAAGAGTCTTTACAATGACTGCAGCTCAGCCAGTGGGGCTCTGAATACTTCCCACACAACACAGAGGAACCACCAGCGTGCATTAGTCAAGTCATAAGGTTTATTTCATAAGTTTACGTGGTTTAAAACCATTCACCAAACTGTGAATTTCCACCCATTAAAAACAACCACTGAAGCGGCTCTGAGGTATCACTGTGCCCAGTCGGAGGGGCTTGTCTAGGGGGACAGGCAGGTCCAGTGAGGCCACAGGTGTGTCCTGCGCAACGGGAAGTGCGGTTTACAGAAGCAACACGATTCTCCCTTCAGCCCCAAGCACGCCTGGTAACAAGGCTGGCCAGGGCCTGCCCCCGTGTGCTGCTTTCACAGGATGCCCCGTCACCCGCCACGTCGCCCTCCAGGTAAAGCACAGCGTGTCTCAACATCTTGCTAGGTGCAGGGGAATTTCCTTGTACTTTTCAAAGAGCTAGGTTTTTTTTTTTTCTCTTAAAATCATTTACAAAAATAAACTTCAGGTTGAGACCTTAGGTACTAAATTGTGGCTTAGTTTAGTTGAGAAAGCTGCACTATAAAGTTATGAAAAAACCCGGCTCTTCCCTGCACCCTGGGCAGCTGTGGCGGCCTCCATCACCAGATGCTCCACCACCCATGGACCTGGCGTGTTGTCCCGAGACCGCAGAGCCTCACCTGCAGCTCAGGAAACTGTTAGTAGCGGCAATACATTCAAGGCAGGGCGCAGCCCGCACCTGTTAGGCACAGGGCTGCACAGGCATCCCTGCAAGGACCCGGAGCCAGGGACCATGTGTGGGAGAAACACTGCTGGGGCGGTGCCAATGTGACTTAACGGCCACGGTGCACTGACAGCGACACCCACAGGCTGACTTCTCACCCGAGAAGCTTTGCACCGTAGTCAGGGACACACAGGGACCACAGGGAGCCACACAGAACATCCAGCCTCCACACCTCCACGTGCCAGTCTTACCCCACTGCCCCCTCCCCCCTGCATCCCTGGAGATGACGCACGTGTGAGGTGGGGCTCAACGCAGGCTCAAGCCTCTGAACGGGGTGGCTCGCAGGTGCGGGACAGTGGCGGAAGGCACGGCTCAGATCTCACTGATGGGCCGCTCTGAGGGACAGTACTCTGCGGTGGACGGTGAGGACACATAGAAAGACTGCGTCTTGCGCTTCAAGCGCGCCCGCTTGTTGGCCAGCACCAGGCTGCGCCGACTGGAGCTGATGATCTCAGAGATGAACTTCTTGCAGTCCACGCACACCTCCATGGCGCTCCAGTCCTCTGTGAGCTCCTTGGGGAACTGCAGCTCCTCGTCCGCCTTGTCTGCAGACCTGGACCTCGTGGAGAATCTGGAAGAGAGCCCCAGAGCCCAGGTCCTCTCAGTGCTCCGCTGTGCTGCTGAGGTGTGTAAAAACAATTTGCAAGCCGGGTGTGGTGGCTCATGCCTGTAATCCCAGCACTCGGGAGGCTGAGGTGGGAGGATTGTTGCGAGTTCGAGACCAGCCTGGGCTACAAGGGCTACAAAGTGAGCTCAAGGCCATCCTGAACTGCATAGCGAGACCCCGTCTCAAAAAAGACCGAAAAAAAGAAAGAAAGAAAACAATTTGCTGCCCCAGCACTGTGGGACTAATGTGATCTAATCCCCTCAGGGAGACAAGGCTCAAAGTGACTTTTGAAAAGACACTAGGAAACACTTTTCATTAAGAAACAATCCTCTAGTGTTTTGGAAAAGAGCCTCATGTGACTGCCACACACTATGACACTGTGCAAGCATCGCTGAGAACCTACAGATGACTCAGAAGCAGCTGGGCTGTGTCCTGACAGGGGCGTGAGTCACCATGGACAGCACACTGCACTGCAGGGAGCTGAATTAAGTGAGTCACACGTCACATCCTGACATTTGCTTGTCACCTGTGTATGTATCAAGTGTGCCTCCCCGCCAGCAGTTAGTTCTGTTTGGGCCCCGGGCTGGAGGTCGAGAGTATTTTGGGATCCACTACTGGCTGACTCTCTAACCAACCCAAGCAGGAATCAAGGTGTGGATCCAGGTAAGAGGTGGCACAGGGAACAGCACAGCTGTCACTTACCACCCCAGAGCTGCAGCCCCCAGTGGTTGCCATGGCAATGGTGTCTCAGCCCCCAGAGGACAGATGACTGCGCTCTGGTCATGGGCTGGCTCACAACCAGCTCATCTCCAGTTCCCGACACCTCTACCCCACTGCGTAGGCCCGAGCTGCCTGCCGCCTCCTCCTCCGGCTACTAACCTCACCGGCACTCTATGCCTGGGGATGGACACTTGGGCAGCGTGTCCTCCCTCGAACTGCAGCTCCTGGTGGTGGCCTTAGTGCCTACCTTGCCATCATAGCATGAGTCTCAGCTGCTACGGGCTTTTGTTAATCCAGGACAAGAGAGATGGGAAGCAGGATTAGATGCTATGTGCAAATTTTCAATTCCATAGCAAACAGCTCAGTCTTAAAGGTAACTTTAGAAGCACACAGTTAGGCATCATTTCAAAACTAGAAAAAAATATAAACTGCACGTTCAAGGCACCCTCTCAGCCAGCAGCCACTGCCCTGAGAGGTCACCGCTGGATGGCTGAAGCCAGGCTGGGCCAGTGTGCCAATCTCCTCTGACCCAAAGGCTGCCTCCTGCTCCAGCCAGGATCCCAGGGGCTCTTGACCCAGCCCCACCCACCTGGCGATGCTCCGCAGTGGCCGATGGTGGCTGGCAGAGGGCTCTTCTGCCTGGGCACTGTCTCCTCTCTGCAAGGCAGATGGTCCCAAGGAGAAGATGGGGAGGGTGGAATATGGCTTGGAGGGCAGCCGCATCTGTTCACCAGAGAAGGCGGAGTATAAGCAGGCGGGGACGGCACCGGGCAGTGCCTCTACCCGCTGAACTCAGCTTACCTTCTTGCAGCACTGCGAGCACACGGGCCTGTGCAATAATCAGAAGCAGAAGTGTTAGAGGTGTGGCTGAGGGTGCACCCTGGAGACCTCAGCACAGCACTGCCAGGGCCTCCCTGCCACAGCAGGGGCACGCTGAGGGACCACACAGAGGACTGTGGCCGCCCAGGGCAGAGTCAGCTTTGCCTGGAGTGTCCCTGCTTGCCTAGCCCAGCCAAAGTGACCTTTGTGTTTCCTTTTCTGTTTGAACCTGACTCCTTGTTAGAGTCCTCTGTTCCCCTACGAGTGACACTTCAAGGTAACAGCAGCAACAGGCAGATTGGCGAAGGAACGAATGCTCCCCAGGCCAGGGACACGATGCTCCAAGCACTGACCCACCACAGACAGGGCCTCACCTCTTGCAGAACTGACAGGTGTAGGACCAGGCAAAGAAGGAGAACCTCCGGGTGCGGCAGCAGAAACAGAGCTGGAAACAGAGTTCAGAAGTAAACGGGGGAGGGGGAGGAGGGCAGCAGCCATGGCCCCTCCACCCCCACCCCGTATCACTGGCAGGAGAAGAACAGCAATGGGGTCTGCCCCCCGTGCCCCTGCTGTGGCAGGGAGGCCCCCCCCCACGCCTCTCACAACCTGACAACGGCAGGCCATGCCGCTTTCCCAGCTGTTGTGGATTCTGCATTATGGTTTCTGCTCCAAGGGCAGACAAGGTGTGTTGCGGAGGTCACCAGAGTGTGACCCCTCACCTCCAGACCCGCAGGACGGCCCTACCTTTCCCTTCTTCAGGGCGGTGTAGACGTCCTTGTACTGCTGGTACTTCTCCAGCTCTGCTTTGACCAGCACCTGCCGGATGTGCATCACTTCCTCCACGGTGAGCGCCAGGCACTCCACCGGGTAGCAGAACTCCTCCTGCAAGGCAAGGGCTGAGTCGCACGCCACCCAGCCGGCTGCAGCCTCCCGCGAACATGTGGTTAGTAGCTCAGAGAGAGAAGACAGGAGTGCGTCTGTGATCTGAGACAGAGGCGGCGCCATGGGGACCACACCACTCCGGTGACAGCAGGACGTGGGACCATGGGGCGCTGCAGCCACCTCGATGTGCAGGCCATGAAGGCGCTATGCAGGGTCAGGCTTTGCGCCTCCTGTGGTTCTACTCGATTATCAGCGTGTCCTGTGTTTGGAATTTCCAAAATAATTTTGTTGTCTTAAGCCAATTTTTGATGATTTTTTTCTACAATTTTGCAGACTGAGTGCTGGCACAAGCCTCCAACTGCACGTCTGTGACACCGGCACTGCTGCGGTGCCTGGAGCAGGGTGGTTAGTGCTAGGTTCTGACAAGCATCACAAGGGGTCAGTGACATCAGCGCGCTTCGGGAGGCCCTGGCCGGCTCCGTGGGCTGTGACTGGAGCCCTGGTGGCTTCTTCCCAGAGGCTGCTGACCCAGCTTTCAACAACACTGGGTGTGCAGTCAGCGTGGAGCGAGGTACCTGGGGATTCATGATAAATATTGGTGCCAGCTGCCACCTGTGCCCAGGCCTACAGCCAGCCGAAGGCAAAGGTGTCACTGATCCCTCAGAACAGGACCCTCGCCTGCTGCACTCCATCTGGCCAACTGGAGATTGAGGATCTAAGAGAAAGACAGAACAGTCTCGGCCTTCTGGCTGCCGGGCTTCAGGGCCCCTTGTGGGGCAGTGACTCGAGCTGAAGGTCCCAATAGACATGTTAGGATTCTCCCACACAGCACCGCCCCCTGGAAGTCGCTGCCAAGAGGCACACAGCTGTGCATGGTGCAGTGCTTATATGGTTCTGTCTTTCAATCAGAGAAAATGAAAATCCACATTGTAAACTTGACAAACATTAGCATTTACTATACCAAAAGCAGCATGAAGACCTGCTGCTTCTCACGAAGTGACAGGAAATCGGCTCTGTCCATGCTACCCACGGGGAAGTCAGATGTGCTTACAACACTTCGCAGAAAGCCCTGTGACTGGCTGCTGTCTCGAGGGGGATGGACGCTGGAGTTAGCCGACAGGCCTTGTTCACAAAGGCTGTGTCTCTCACTGCACCGTGGCATCTCCTCTGTCCTCTCTTAGAGTGACAGGATGAGAGGGCTGCCCCCCTGGAGGACAGAGGCCTTGCATAGGCACATTGCATGCCTGGGGGCAGCCCGGAGATGTTTACCTCACCGGGAATGCTTAGGAGGATGTTTCTCTGCAATGTCTTTTCTCCACACTCTACCCTAGGGCAGAGCTGCTGAGTAGGATGCAGTTAGGCCTGGGTCTTGACATCTAGTGAGGGACCAGGCAGCCAGAGGTGCCTGTGCCTCAGGGAGGGCCGAGCAGGGAGGCCCTGCACACTGGCTCTCTCCTGTGGGGAAGCTGCAGACCTCAGCTGCGTCCTCCTCAGGGGCGAGTCACACAGGCCACTTAGCAGGCCTCAAGACTTCCTGCTTGGAGACCCACTCCCCTCAGGCCAGATGCTAATGTTTTAATTCTGGAGCTCTCCTAAGGACAACCAGACTTGAATGCAACATCAAACAAAGCAGTAAGTAGTTATTGGGATAGTTTCAGTCATTTTTCAAGTGGGCAAAAAGGTCCATTCAGCATCCCTGAAACCAAAACAGATGCTCCCCAGGTTTGGGGTAGCCCAGCCCTGCCCACAGCAGCCCTGGCGCAGACCCCGTGGCTGCCACCTGGACATGCCAGGCCAGGGCTCTGCTTGCTTCTCTGTGTTTCCATGAGACTCAAATTTAGGACAGGAAGCTACATCTGAGTTTCAGGAAGTGTGCCACAGCGACTGGTATGCCCTTAGAAGGTGCCTGCATGCGTGGGTCACCAAGATGGCTGGGCATTACTTTGACCATTCGGGACGTACTCTGCATACTAGTGTTTTCCAGGTCAGCGCAAGGCAGAGAGAGCAGACTCAAGGTCCAATCACTGCACCCCAGAGGGAAACGGGGGCTGGTATCTCTTAGACAATGATCTTGGTTAGGAAATCTCCCTTGCAGAATAGGCAGACCCAAGAGTTATGTAAAACAATCCCTGCTTCTCAAGGTTCTAATAAACTCAAGGAAGGCAAATTCAAATAATAATACCAGCTGCTAAGTTGAGTTACTTTCAGCACTTCGGCTCAGAGGAACCCTCACTGGCCCAGACCAGCCTGGGGGCCATGGTGCCTGCGGCTGGGGGGCTGTATACCAAAGGCCACCCCGAACCTGGCCCTGCATTCCAGGAGACAAACAGGTGATTGTGGGACAAGCCCAGTGCTTCCCTTCTTCCTGTGGAGCCTCCTCTCTAGGCTAAGATGAACAGCAAACCCTAAGAAGAAAGCAGCTTCCAGATCCACTGGTGAGGACATACTTAGTGACACTGGCCAAAGACCTGGGCTTTGCAGTGTCCAGCACATGCAGCAGAGTGGGGCAGAACATTACCGTGTGCGGAAAAGCTCCACAAAGGTAATCAAATAACGAAATTACATAAAGAAGGAAACATTAGAGTTTCTCTTGACAGAGAAGCAAACACAGGACTATCCCAGAGCTATGTAGAGGCCAGGTCCTGAGCCTAGCAGCCGCAGATCCCACTGAGCTGTCTGTGAGGACGGTAGGGCGGGTGGACGTGGCAAAGCTGCCCCTAGACAGCAGCTCACAGAGGACAGTGTGACCCCAGGAGGGTGCCAGCCATGCGGAGACGAGTCCTCCAGGCAGGGATACCCACAGCTGCCTGTCTGATGCTGCATTCTGAGTCTATTGTCCTTTCAGTGATTTACTTCCCTCTGCAAAGAGACTGTGGCATGATCTATGCATCCCACACACAACGGGAATCATCGACCGGAAGCAGTTAATTCTCACAGAGTACGGCAGCCGTCACTGTCAGAGAGACAGTGAAAAAGGCCCCAGAGCCAGCGCAAAGAGGCCAACCTGTGCGGATCTCCACCTGCTGGCCAAAGCTCTCTCACACAGATAATACACAGCCCCTGCCACCCCAAACACAGCCGCTTCCAGAGGGTGGGAGCCGAGTAGAGAAGCTGTGTGTATGGTAGAGAAAAGTGGTCGGAAAGGCGTCCTCGGCCATACACCGGTCGTCTTTGGCACCTGAACGACAGGGAGAGAAATGGCAGGGAAAGAAAAGCAGACATTCATGCCGAGCTCAAGTGACCTGCAAACAGCAACCACAGATCATGAATGAAAAAGGCAAACAAAATGCCACCGACGGGGAGGGTCCTGGCCAATGCCAAACCAGCAGCCAAACAGTGGTTATGGCCAAGACCTTGGGGTCACATGGCCTGGGCTGTGGCCCAGGGGCTTCCGCGTGAGCCTCCTGCTGCCGGACAACATGGGCAGACACGGCCCCCATGCCACGTGCCCTGGCCCCACCCACCATCTGACCAAGTGACCAGAAAATTACATTTTGAACATCCTACAGAGCAAAAAATTATCCATGACAAAAACATTCCTGCCATTTTCAGTTGAGGGGTGACAATCACAAAAGATTCCTTGTTTTCTAAAACACAGCTGAATTTAAAACCAATTCTGGGACTTTACAAATAGTGCTGACAGAGCTGGAGGTGCCTCCAGCATAGCAGGACCTTGGGGCCCTCCGGGAAAGCTGCCGTGCAGAGGTACAGCATCCCAAGAAGGGTATGCAGTTGCCCTGCTGCCTGTACCCTCGTGGCAGAGCAGGGCGACCGGGCCAGCTCTCAAGTCTGTGCCAGTACCCGGCTCCTTGCTGTCCTCCCACCCACAAGGTGGCTCAAGCTGACTGAGTGCTCAGCCCCGGAGCAGCACAGAAGGACACAGGTTCCCGCCCATCCTCTACACTCTGTGCTCCACACTGGCGACCAGGTCTGAGTTCAGTAATGAGGACCGGGCAGGGACTGATCCACTGACCCCTGGGGAGGCTGCAGAAGGACACAGCTGTCAGCAGGAGCGCACTCACACACATTTAAGTTGTGACAGGAAACATGTGCTCTGCTTAAGCAACTGCTGACTACCCTTGGCTGAAGCCTTTGGGGTTCTGAGTTTGAGCCTATCTGGCCAGGGTCTGCTTTTCTCTGCAGGTATAGAAACTCCTCCAACAGCATGCTGTGACTGTGCAGGGGCAGGGGCCTCTCGGCAGGAGGGACAACTGACGACTGACCAGCTCCCTGCACCCGCCATGCGCCATGTTCCACCAAGGGAAGATCTGCTGCCACCTCCCTCGAGCCTGCACTGATCTATCCTGCAAATCCCTGACCCCAGGCTGTGGCCACACGAGTGAGACCCTGAAGCAGGGGTGGCTCAGGCACCTCCACCGGACCCCTGCACCCTAAGCAGGGCCTGCCCAACACTGACCAGGATAAGGGGCGCTGCTTACCCCAGCTGAGAACCCCCATCCCAAGCCTGTGTGCCGTCAGACTCCTCTACTGCAGTCGGGCTCTGCTAAGAGTCTTCGGATCTGTTTTTAACAGTTTTTAAGTGGATCAGGACCCATTTAAAGGCAAAAAGCATTTCTTTACCAATTCACTGATGGATCTGGAGAAAAAGGGCCCTAAATGAACAAAAACTGGCTGAGTTTCTGGATTGGCTCAGAGCCTGTTTTCTTTTTGGATAATAACGAGTTATTCCAAGTTTACTGTCATCCTGAGAAATTTTTTCCCCTGATCCTTTTTTCTCATCCTGGGCATTGACACCAGGGCCTCCACACCACGATGCATCCCCAGTTTCATCTTTATTTTTAGATAGAGTCTCCCTGAGTGTCCCACTGTCTCAGCCTTGGAGTACAGGATGACTGCCTGTGGCTCCGCACCTGGCTGGCTGTCTTTGTCCTTCTGAAAGCACATGGTGGCCGCCCACTGGCACTCACCAGAGAGCGGGAGCTCTGCCTGGACGGGGGCAGGAACTGCCGAACATTCGTGGGCGTCTCCTTCTCAATAGAGTGGCGCCTCTGTGGCGGCTGCCGCCTCTCAGGCTGGGGTGTGGATGATATGGGCAGGAATTTTGGAGGCTCTGAAGATTTAAACAAATAAGTGGTCGTGCTTATAAGTACATATCCGCATTCTGACATTACTAATAGAAAAGCCTTTGTCGCTGGTGATGAACACCACGCTCAAAGACAAAGTGTCCACTTCCTTGAAAAGCTGCACATAGCCCTAAGGGGACATCAGGGCCGCCATGGAAGGGCCTGAGGGACAGACTGGGCAGAACAGTGAGAGGCAGCAGTGCTGTGCACATTCCCCTCCTCAGCCAGGTCCACACAGGAAATGCCGTGTGCATATAGCTCAGCTTGGGAATCACTCAGGTCACTTCCTAGGAAACCTGGCAATCCAGGTCTAGGGTGCTACCTTAAAAACATGTAAACATACATCCAGTGTTACCTCGGCTCACAAACTTAATGCACTCCAGGGTTCCAGGGAAGTGGGCCAGTCACGTTCGGCCCTCCAATGTGGAATTCGGAAATGGAAGCAAAGCTTTTTTTGTTTTGTTTCGTTTTTGGTTTTTTTTTTTTTTTTTTTGTGGTACCAGGGATCGAAGTCAGGACCTCGCACTTGTCAGGCAGGTGCTTATGCCACTGAGCTAAATCCCCAGTGCTGAACGCAAAATTTTGCCAAACGCTTGTGCTGGTGAACTGAACTGAAGCATCTATGAAATGAGGTATTGCTGTGTTCTGCATAACCAAGACAACTTCCAGAGCACACCAAAATTCTCAACGGCACCTTTTTACAGTCTCTTTCACAAAGAAGAAACAGGAAAACTCTTCGCTTTGTATGTTTAAGACATGGTGTCCTTCCCTTTAAATTAAGCTGTCCTGGAACTGGAGAAACTTCAGCACTGACAGTGATACTCTACCACTGGTTTCTGCTTTGGGGCAATGTTTGAAAGGAGGGTCTCCAGGCTCTGAAGAATGTGGACTCACCTTTTGAAAGCACAAAAACATCAGAAATAGATGTTGCTGCCCAGCTTTCCTTGTGCTTCTTCCTACTCTACTTGCAGAGCAAGGCAGCATCACAGGGAGAGGAAAGAGCCACCACAGGGTTCGGGGACCTGTGTCCCCCAGGAGAAAACAAAACATCCTTTCCACAGTAAGAGAAGCCACAGCCGTCACCATGGAGTAACCGGGTCCCTGACGCCGAGTGGATCTGGCCAAGCACCAGCTCTCACCCGAGCACTGAAATGCTGTGCAGACGATTGGAACCACTAACCCTCCGGGGTGTGTGTGAAGTCCCGACACTGCTCTAAGAACACCTCAGTGGTTTTCATTCCTCACAATGAATGATTTTACAAGGAAAAAAGGTTACTGAAAGCCTTCAGAGACCCTCGGGTGTCAGGCATTCAGAGCTCACGGCCCACAAGGGTGTCCCCAGGGTTCACAGTCAGCGTCCACAGGTTTGGGGCTGGTATGAGCCAGTGCGCAGGGGTGGGCCCCCCCCCCACACTCATACGTGGCCGCTGGCTTTGACAGTGTCTACACTGGATGTGCTTTTCCTAGACCAAACGTGTAGCCTCAGGTGTGTGCCCAGGGCTGCCAACTGGGGACATCTGAGTCCTGCTCTTGCCTAGTGTGATGGCAGCTCGAGGTCTTCATGCCCACAGCACCACAGGACTTAAGAGTGCTGCACAAGGCGGGCCACCTGCATTCTCCGAGCGCTGTGGGTACTCACTCTTCCTCATGCATGTGGCCTCTGCGACAGAGTCCTCGAGCTGGGAGGGGGATGCACTGCTGCTGCTGCTGCTGGACTTGCGTAGAGCTTCCTCCTGGGGGGCATTAGCAACACAGTTAGCAATACTGCACCCCCAAACAGCAGAGATGCCAAGCAGTGTCTGAAGCTCAGGGCAACTGGAAGGTGCAATCCACAAATTCCAGGGAAGTTTAAATGAGAAAGAATTCATTGCAGTGCAGACACAATGCTGCCGTCATCCCTCTCAGAATCCACCCCACACTTACCATACATTCATCCCAATGTCCCCACCGCTTTCTGCAGCAGCTTTGGAGCCCTCTTTCCTGAGTGTCTTCAGTTGCGCTGTCCCGAATCTATTCAAAGTGCTTCCCTTTCATGGTCATGCTGACTTGGGAAGAGCCGGAAGGCACATGGACCAGATCCACGAGTAAGGTGGCGGGGGACACAGGGTCATGTTTTTGGTAGCCTGCCTTTTCATCAGTGGCACCTGGCAGCAGCATTCATGTATCTTTGATCCCATCTCCTGAGACACTCTGGGAAGAGGGCTCCAGAGCTGATCCTTCCCAGGCCTGTGGGAGGACACTGCCACTAGCACTGCCAGCTGGGGCCCCTTGCTCACTTCCTCTTCCGGGAAGGACACCAGGGAGGTGCAGTCCTGGCGGCTGTGACCTGGCAGCAAGCAGAGCTCACTGTGGGCCACAGGAAGGCACCAAGCCAGACTGCTCTCAGTGTCCAAGGTTCAGAACTGACCACAGTTGGTGCAGAAGTCTAATCAGCTAGGGGTTCTGCTATGAAGGGCCCAACAGGTCTTAGGACTTAGTCTCTGCCTCTGCTATGGCCGGGTTTTCTGACAGTAAAGGCGTTTTTGCCTTGTATTTCAGTGTTCTCACGTAGTGGTGCTGGGAATGCCCATGTCCACACAGCATGCAGCTGTGGAGGCAGACAAGGGCCCAGACTCAGCTGGGTCGCTCACTGACTCTTATACTCCTGCCTCTGCCTCCTCACTGCAGTACACGGTGGAAGGTTTATAGATGTGGAAAGAAATCAGGGTCCTCATTTTAAAAGTTTAAAATGTTTTTCTTCTGCGCTGAGCTGTACTCAGCCACATCCCCAGCCCTTTATGTTTTGAGACAAGGTTTCAGTAGGTTGCTCTGGTTGATCTCAGACTTTCTCCTGCCTCAGTCTCCCAGGTAGCCAACATTACAGCCAAGCCACCACCTGGCAAAAGTACCTTCCTTTACCCGAGGATCACAGTCATCTTCTGGTACCTCCGTGCAGGTGACTTAATTAACATCTAATGTCTAAATCAGAGTTAGCTCTGTAAAGAGCAGCAGCTTCAATCTCCTTCAAGAGACCGGCAATATATACCAAAAGCCATCAAAGTGTTCATCCTCGCACCTAGCGAATGCAGTTAGAGATATTCTAAGACATGACTCAGGCAAAAATATACCAGTATTCTCCACATCACTGTTACTTATGGTGGCAGGAAACTGGGAGTTTAAAAACCAGAGTATGTAACTGAAATACAGAAATCGTATGATGGAGTACTGTGCCGTACCTGCATGGTGTTGGGGAGGCTGGTGGTATTTTGTTAGTTCCAGCACAGTGGTGATGAGAGAACCTTTTCTGTACCCCAAAGAGAGGTGTAAAGGTTGAGGGTTGTGAGGAACAGAAGCGTGAACAACTCTGCATGTCCAGAGCTTCCCCACAGGGTCAGGGCCAAGTGGGCAGGGTCAGTGTAGTGGCGGCGGGCCCGCTGGACAGCCAGACGGGTGCGGCCCCACTGAGCCTGCAGGGTGTGCAGTGAGCCACTGGGAGAGGGAACAGTGTGGTGCTGCAGTCCCAGCCACTGCTTACCAAGGGCCCCATCCAAACCATCAACTTGGGCATTAAAAATTAAACAGCAAGCCAGGGATTTAGCTCAGCAGCATAAGCACATGCCTGGCAAGCTCGAAGTTGTAAGTTTGATCCCTGGTACCAAAAAAAGAAAAAAATTTTAAAAATAAAAATAAATGGCAAGTTGGTGTGTCATACTTCTTAAAGGGATTAAGAGCTCTTTTCTTTCTACATAAAGCACTTGACTTTATAACTGATACATAATTCATTACTATTCTATTTCATATGCATACCTGATCTACAGTAATGTAGGGACTGAGCACAAGGAAATTTAGAAATAAATAGGATTGTTTATTTTTCTTTTCTTTTGGTACCAGGAATCAAACTCAGGACCCTGTGCTTGCCATGCACACACTTATGCTGCTGAGCTATATCCCCAGTCCAATAGGGATTATTCAAACAGCAAACTGTTCTTTGCGGTAACTTGGACCCAAGTTTAAGACTGAAAATTAGCAATGAGTAGTAGGAAATTACTAGACAACAGTGTCACCAAATTACTCTGTATTCTACAGATGAGCACAGGTCTTATCCTGGAATGGAAGAAATTTTCTCTTGAAAGAATATAAAGTCTATGGAAGCCACACCTATAATCCCAGGATTCTGGGAGGCTGAAGCAGGAGGATCCCAAATTTGAACCCAACCTTAACAACTAAGCAACTTAGCAAGACCTTGTCTCAGAATTTAAAAAGGTGTGGAGAGGTAGCTCAGCGTGAAGGCTCTGGGTTCAGTCTCTAGTACTGCAAATATAAGGCAGGCAGGCAGGCAGGCAAGCAGGCAGGCAGCTAGCAAAGGAGATACACCGAGGCAGTGTATGCAGTCCACCATAGCACCTGGTACCAGCAGACAGAGCAGCCTGGCTTCTGGGGATGAGGTCTGCATGTGTTCACGCTGTTCCCCAGCGGTGGAAACCAAGCCCAGCTTCCATGCCCTGTGTCCTCCCTCAGGAGTGGAGCAGTGCTGGGCCAGGCTCCCACTGACCCTGGAACTCACAGCTTGGCTGTGAGGGATGGACAGTCTGGTGCTTGGAGAAAAGTCAGAAGCAGTGCTGAGACATTTAGGGGCAGAACAGGAGTGGCCACTGCCTGCTCTGAGTGGACTTTCCAAAGCCTCAGCAGATGTCTCCTGAGGTGGGAGACACCGAGGCCCACTCGGATCAGCACTGTTCCCACCAGGAAGACACAGGACCATGTCTCCAGTGTGAGCTGGGGAGCAGGGGCTGCACCAGGGCACAGATGGAGCACTGACAGGGAGGTGACCTCGGAGGCAGTGGCACAGGCTAATCTCAGTGCCCTGCGGGGGAGGCCGTGGTCTCATGGGGGCACCGTGCCCCACAGGGCCAGAACGCAGAGAAGCATGGTCTGGAGAAGCAATGTAAATGCACACGGCACGATGCGGGAAGGAGCTGGACCCGAGGGCTGCAGATAACGGGAGGGCAGTGCGGTGTACAGGACATGCTGCGCGGTGTCCAGGACACTCTGCACTTTCCTTTCCTGCAGCCTGCCTGCTGGTGTTCTCACTATGGGAAGAACAACCCTTAGAGGGAACACAGTTGCAGAAAGGCTTTGCTTGACTACTTTTTCCTTCCCAAAGCAAAGGGGGCAGGAACTCCCACCTTGGGAATTGCTGCCTTATTTTAACCCTGCTTATATTTTATGATCCCAGCAGGTCCAATTTGCACATTCACTCTACAAACCATACCCGTGTGTTGCACACCAATAGCAGGAGGCCATACCTGGCCCTCAGTGCCAATCACACTGCTGCCAAGCTGAGGCCTCACCTCAGAGTCAGAGCTGTCCAGTTCGGCCAGCGTTGGGGCCTTGAGCAATCTCTTCTGTGCCATGGGCGCCAACGCAGCAGGGCTCAATCCACTCTTTCCTGGCTGTGCAGTTGACAGCGAGCCCCCATTCGCCTGCAACGTCTCCCCGAGGCTCCAGGAAGATTCTGGTGTGGCCACATCTATGGAGAGAAAGGCAGAAGCTGGTCTCAGCTTAAGCCAGGAAAGGATGGTGTGGGGTGAACATCCCCCTCCCTGAGCGCTGCAGAGGTAGGAGGCAGAAGGTCTAGTGGTACACCCTGAAATCAGCTCCGTCAGACAGGCAGAGTCGGGCAGTGAAGGAACCTAGAATGAGTCACTTGGGCTTTACACCTGTACATCCTGCAGGTAACTGAGGCTGAGTGTGGTTTCCAAATGAGAAAATCGAGGTCCAGAGAAGCTGGCTCTCTGCTCAGCCCCAGAGGTGCAGGGGAAGTGAGCCCCTTGGGCCTTGGGGGCCATAGGACATCTACAGCCACAGGTAGGTCACATGGGGACACAGATGCACACAGAGCACACACAGGACACAGTGTCTGTGAACACAGAACACACACGTGCTCTGACACACTGGAGTCGCATGACCAAAGCGCGAGCCAGGATGGACAAGCGAGGTAGCAAGGGACAGGGAGCAGGGACACAGCTAGCTGTGGGTCACCTGACGGCACAAGCTTCTAACCTGCTCCTCCTCTGTGGGCAAAACGGGTTCAGCTACATGAAACCCTGAGCTCCAGGCAGGCTTTCGCTCCAGCTGGAGGAGCCAGGCGGTCCTGAGGCTGGTGGTCCACACCACAGCAGGGAGGACCTGACCCCAGCTAACAGCTGGCTACAGAATCAGAGCTTTCAAAGGTGAAATAAAGCTGCTCCTTACAGATGGCAGGAGAAACAACTCTAAGGGCCTGCTACTGGGGGCCACAGATACCAGGTGATCACCCTGTGGAGGAGATGGTTCTGCAGCTGAGGGGACTCAGGGTGCAAGACTGCTCTCTCCAGGAGGCTCCGCCAAAGTGAATTCCAAACCCCAGGGGAAAGGTTGAATCCAGGCAGGCAGGCATGAGCTACACTCCTGGGCAGTGCACTCCACAGCCACAGCCGCTGCTCCCTGTGGGACAGCGGCCTAGGGGACAGCCCCTTCCCAACCAGAGGACAGGTGCAAGCGAGGAAGGCAGGAAGACAGGACCCAGAACTGCCTGTCACTTACCTATCTTGTTAGGTGACATTTTTAATACAGAACAAGATAATGTATTTACTACCTTTCCAGAAATGAAGGAGCCAGAATAAAGAAACATTTGGTGTTAGGGAAGGAGTCGAAAGGGAAAAAACAAAAGGTTATATATGAAATGTAAAGGAGAAAATTATCGAAATCTTTCATAAGGGAATGGTGGGAGAAGTATTCTAAATTTTTCAGAAAGTGAAAGGAAATGAATGGGCCCATTCCTATCAAGAAAGGTAGTAGGGGTTAGCCACGATCTTCACAGAGCACCTTATCCGCACTCTGCACACCTGTTGTGGCTGTTGGCATAGGACAGAGCTTCCAGGTGCAAGCACGCGCACGTGACCTGCACATGCTTGCACTTTCCCTAGTGCATGTGTCCACTCTCCCACCACTGCAGCGTGCGGTTGTTTAGGTCGCAGACGACCTAACTTGAGGTCAGACCAAGGATTTTAATGTATCTTACTAAAGACACTTCTGAAAGTCACTGGAGGTAAATTAAGTGTTAACTAGAATGGGCAGCATTTAAGGTGGCAGACGACCAGGAGCTCAGCCTGGGGCATGTGGAGCAGTGGCACTGTGTCCTCCTCCATGCCCAGGAGGAGCCATTCTGCACAGCAAGGTGATAGCTGCTGTTCAGCTCAGGGACTGTACAGCTGCAGAGCCATGAGGAGACAGTGAGAGAATAAGCTCCAGGGCACCTTTCAGGCTGTTAGAATGGCCTCCCTGCATCTGCTTATTGATAAAGGGCTTAGGCTAGTCATAGTTTTAAGACTCACGTTTTCTGTTAAACTTAGTAAATTCTATTACTTCAATGTAATCAAATGAGGAGAATCACATGTGAATTAAACTCTGTGTTTCTTCTATATAAGACGGCATTTTGAAAAACTGGTAGTATTTATGTCTAAATGAAATGTATATGAAATATTTGGATATGGCTTTAAAAACCACATATCTTAGGGTGAGAAGGTAACATGCATATTCATATTAAACACTTCGGTAACTGTTATGGGTTAAAAACTGGTGGTCAACTTAACACCAGCTGAATTAAATCAGTGTGGTACTGAGCGTAGATGGCCACCTGAGGAGCGTTGCCAACATAGACGCAGAGAAGACGAGTGAGGTGCTGTGGGTGACTCTAAGAGGTGCTGTTTTGAGCCACTGGTTCTCCCCTTGTCATGACTACCTTCCCCAGTGTGGACCACTGAGCATGAAAGCAGCTGAGGACTTTGTTGGTGAGAGTGGCTGTGGTTCACTTTGTGGGGCTCTGGTCCTTACACTGAGCATCGCTTCCTGGCTCCGGAGGGCAAGACATGTGCCATTTAATCTCCAGGAGAAACTTGTCACACTGGCTTTCTGGCACGTACTCAACTGTTCTTATTGCGGGAGGAGCTCGGGATCTCCATGTCACTGAGGATGGCTGCGGCACTTTTCAGGGCAACCCTGGTTCTTATTTTGAGCATGACTTCTTGGGTTCAGTGTAGAACCCTCCACCTACCAGCACAGCTCCTTTACTCCCACCCCTGGCACAGAATTTCTAGCTTCCTTTTTAGCCTTCCCAGCAGAGATCCATAAAGCAGACTGGCGTGAGTCCTTGTTATGGGTTCTAGACCTCCAGTTGGACTTGTGGGAGGCACTGTCATGAGCTCTGGGTCTTCATCTGGACTCATGCAGGACATTGCTGTGGGATCCAGGCCCTTGGCTGAATATTCTGGGTCCTTGGTGTTGTGGACAGATTTCCTGCACTTTCTGTGTTTAACTCTGGGTGACCATTATAAAATGTTATAAATTCTGTGTCCTGATTCTAATTGTTCTCCTTATAACCTACAACATGTGGGTTGGAAGAAATGTGACCAGGATGTATCACGGACTTAATATTTGCACAGAAAAAAATGCCAGACTTACCTTTATGTTGACTTGATTGTTATGTTGACTATGATCGTTAGAATTTTCACTAAGAAACAATGCTTGTAAGATGCATTTAAGCAGCAGAATGTGCCTCACCACGTCACGTTCTGTGCTTAGGCTTAGAGTCATCTTCACTGCATGTTTAAAATGCTTACTCCTTGCTTTGCTCATTTTCCAACTCAGAAAATGCACTCCAACCTTCCCACCAGAAGAACGGTTAACCCTCCTCTCTCATAACTGGGGACATCTTCAGTAACATTCACAGTGCAACACAAACACAGAAAGCAGCACAATAAACCGAGAATGAAACACTTGGAAATCACAGAGTATGTCAAGGCACAAAATAAATTACAGCAAATGAGAAGCAGTGAAAACAAAGTGCTTTGGTGCCCTTTTTGTGTCAGGGTGTTAAATGGCCAGAGCCCTCGTCCCACACAGGGCCCAGCGTGTGCTCCAGAAGGCCTCCCCATCCTGGCCACTCCAGGTCACCTGCACCCCCAAGCTGGGCTGCAGGGGTTGCCTGGGGGCCACTCAGGCGCAGAGTCTGAGGACGCAGCTGCCCGCAGCATGAGGAACAGTGTGTGCCCCAGAACACTTTCCAGTTTATGTGCCAGACATTTTTTACAGGGTTTCTCTGCAAAAGGTCCATAAAATAAATAAAAATAGCCAAATATGATAAAGAAAATGGAAAAGGCTCTTCGGTGGTCAGTTAAAAATAGCAAGCAAAGACTAAAATGCCCAAGACCTACACAAATAAACATGGACTTAAAGAGTGGCTGGGAACTAGTTTTATAGTTGCGAAGACAGTAAGTAAATGTTCAATATGCAAAAATAGAACTCTCCGGGGTTTTTTGAGTAGTACTAGGGATTGAACCTAGGGTTATTCTACCACTGAGCTATACCTGCTGCTCTTTATATTTTGACTAAGATTTCACCAACTTGTCTAGGCTGGTCTGCAATTTCTCCTGCCTCAGCCTCCTGAGAAACTGGGATTAAAGATCTACATTACGTGCCAAGCCTGCTTTTGCTCTAAATTTGTATAAGGCCCTGGATGAGTTAGTGCCCAAGAGCATTTGCACAGTTAAAAACTCTGGAAGAAAATGGTACCAACAGCTCCTGTTTTTACATTTAAAGTAGTAGCTTCTGAAATTAAAAATTCTAACTTGCAAAATACTCTCTCAGAATTACATAGGCTTTGGAAGTTTGCAAATGTGGAAGCTGTTACTTTAAAGGGGTCTGGTTTAGCAGATCAAATCTAAGCAGTCACAGGTACTCTCCTCACTGTGGGTGCTGCGTGCTACACAGCAAGTGTAGATCTGGGCACGCAGCCACGCACTGCGGCCTGGCACATGGAGCATGCGACACAGCAGAGGCTGGGCCCTGGTAGAGGGGCACGCCCACGGCTCCATACTGCAAGCCACCAGGGCTTTAAGGTTAGGCCTTCAAGGGACTGCAGTTTTTAGAGGAGGAGGAGAAGGAGAACGAGGAGGAGGAGGAGGAGGAGGAGGGGGAGGGGTAGCGAAGGGAGAGGAGGGGGAGAAGGGGAAAAGGATGGAGAGGAGTGGGAGGAGGAGGAGGCAGAAGAGGTGGTGGTGGTGTCTGGCAATCTTCAGCTCCGCGCCCCACCCTTCTCTCACTGCAAAGGTGCTTGCCAGAGGCAGCCTTGCCACAGCCTGAGCACAGTTCTCGCTACCCTGCGGGAAACCAAGGTGCCTGCCTTCTCATTACTTTAAGCATACTGCATTTAAGCTGGGCCTGGTGGTATATGCCTGTCATTTTGGCACTCTGGAGGCTGAGGCAGGAAGATTGCTATGAGTTCCAGGCCAATCTGAACTATGTAGCAAGACTGTCTCCAAAAAAGCCAAAAAGAAAAAAGAAAAGCATACTGCTTTTGCCTACTGACCATGGTGAGAAGAAAGCCTTTCTATTTTCTTTCTGGCAGTCTGAGCAAGCAGATGCATGAGATGTGTGTTACAAACCACAATCACGTCAGGTGTGAAGGTGCTTTGTTTGTTACCTGACAAGTCAAAACTGTGAGACATGCTAAGTGGCCGCATTGCTGAAAGAAAGAAAACAAACAATAAAAGGAAACAGAGTTCAGCTGCTGGGCTGGCAGAGCCACCTGAGCCATGCCCACCTCTGCTCCCATGACGGCACTGAGACCTGACAGGCAAGGGAAAGGAAGAAACCTTTCTAAAATATATTGAGGTGGAAACATGATGAAGATAGAAACTTTTTTAAAACCACAGAAGAGGTTTTTTTACATAAATACTATAAAATAGGTCAAGAGAAAAATGATCAAGTTTTAAAACAGGATTTCAGGGAGCACATATGATATCTGACATCCAGAGTGCTGAGCCTCAGAGTCAGGCCAGGGTGCAGGCTGGCTCTCAGCACAGGCATGGGCAACGTCACCAGGAGATCACCTCACCCCTATCCTGGAGACCCTGGCGCTGGCCTCGCGGGCCCATCCTGAGGGGTGACTTCCCCCACAGAGGTGCCTGGTTGTGCTCGGCTCAGTACAAGGGCAGCGATAGCAGTTCTCAAGAACAAAATCATTACTTCTTTCCTGTTGAAATAACATGTTTTAAACTTTTATTCCATATAATAAAGCCCACTTAATCACAAACTTTAAATGGGTGGTTTTAGGGTATGTAAATTATATCTCAATAGTGTTTCAAAAGAGGCTGTCATAAGGCTTTGAAGTTTGGGGTTCAGGACAGTGAGCGCTCCCTGCTTTCACACCAGTGTCAAACCCTGCCAGCCTTGAGAGCCATCTTCCTGTCACAGGGACCCTGCTGTCGGGACACCCCATCTGCTGGGCCCAAGCTCCACCTCAGGGTCTCCCACCAGTCCCTCTGCTCTGACACCCTCTTCAGGCAGCCAGGGCCGGGTCATAGAGGCCATCATGAGCACGATGCTCTACCTCCCTTCCACGGAGCCCTCACTTGTGGCTTCTTCTCCATCACTGCAGTCCACCTCATCTTCCTGCCTCTGTGTCTGGGAGGGGTGGCACTGCTAGGTTCTACAGGGAGGCCAGCTGGCCAGAGTCTCGGCCAGGGGGTGCTGGCCACGGGCAGGGTGTGGCTGCCTCAGTTGACACTGTCCACAGAGGAGCACCCCCATCTTTAGCAGGTGATTTTAAGGAGAAATTTATTTTACAGCCAAAAGCTCAGTGCGTATCTCTTAAGAAAGTGACATGTGGGAAAAGGACCAACTTATGACCCTGCGCACTCAGCAGGATGCCAGAACCCTATGGGTCTACAAAGCACACAGGTCAGGGAGTGGTGTGCACTTGGGGGACACCCAGCCACGGCGACATAGAAGCCCACTCAAGCCATATTCCCTGCCTGGTGGCCAGGAAGCAGTGTCCCAGGTGCTTCCATTCCAAGGTGCATGTCTGGATGCAGCTCACCACAGGCACCGACTGGTCTCACTAAGTCTTCGAGCAAGTGGTCGGACAGTGACGGCGAACCTCTCAGAGCCTGTGGTGGCATGCGTGCCATGGGCTGCCACCGCTGGTTAGGATCTTGAAAATGTCAAGGATGAACTTCCATTGTATTAAAGATGCCCTCCACGTGTCTAAGCATGCACAGCAAACAGAACAGCATGTAGCCTCAAAGCACTCTGCAGCCTCCCTCACATCTTACTCTGCTCTCCTCTGGAACAGGAAAGGGAGGCATTGCTGTTAGGTGATGAGGTCCCTATGCTTTCATCCAGAAGGCTGCGCCAGTGTCACAGCAACCAAGAGGCCCAAAAGAGTGATCAGAGATGAACAGAGGTCAGGGTACAATCACAGGGCTTTCTGCCTCCTAGGGGAACAGTGGATGGCCTGCGAAATGGGGAGAAGCAGGCAACTATAACACAAGGCAGCCGCCTCGGGAAACCACGGCTTGCACACCATGCTGAGGTGCCGGCGCCGCACTCGGGCTTCTGACTGTGTGCGCAGCCCTCAGGTGGATGTGTGCGTGTGTGCCTGGATGTAGAAGTAATGGTTATGCACTCCGAACGTCCAGTTCCCCGTCACTGAGTTTCTACTTAAATCGCGCCGAGGGAAAATGTTACCAAAATAGTTAGGGAAATGTTTCTTCCAGATAACTGTTAACCTTCTCCCAGCCAAATTCTCCGGAGCACAATTTTCATAGCAAAAACCAACGTAGATTTTCAAGATTAGTGCACTCCAATTCCTGACTTTCCATTTAAGTTTTAGATCAGCTTGAACTCAGGGTTACAGAATCAAAAGTCCACAAGACAATCGCTTTCCTTAACAGCTCAACCCTGGCTGTTGTCACACATCAACGCTCCAGTTAAAACAAAAGACACATTCAGTATAATGCTGGCATTTATTCTACAGCAGGGCTCCCGTCCCCTCAGCACACACACATCGTGCTGTAAACGTGCAACTGAAAACCCTGAGACGGGGCAGGCTCTGTAATCAAAGGCTCCCGACAAAAGAAGCCTGGGCCACGCAGCGCGCAGAGCAGAGTGTGTGCCACCTCTCAAACTCTTCCCCAGTGCTGAGGACAAAACCAGCATCCCTGCGGAATACAGACGAACAGTCTTCAAGAGAATATAAGCAAACACCATCCTGAGCAGACGGCCATCTGGGAGTCAAGGGTGGCTTGCCATGTGGAAGTCAATTCATGCCAAGAGATTCAAGGACACACAGCATCACTTCACAGATACAAGATCAGCACCTGCCAAAGTTCCATCCTCTTTCATGATAGAACTCTAAACAAACTGGGACCAGGAGGACATTTCCCCAACAGAATAAAGGCCTTGGATGAAACACCTGCACTTACCACTATACCCCACGGTGACAAAGTTTTCTCCTAACACCAGAATAAGGCAGAAATGGCCTTGTCCACATGGGACACAGTCCTGGGTGTCCCAGCAGAAACAAAGAAAAAAAGGAAGGACAGGGAGGGAGAGAGACAGGGAAGATAGAGCACCCATACTAGAAAGGAAGTAAAGTGCCCGCCTGTAGGAAACACCATGTTATATACAGGAAACCCTGAAGATGGCATTAAAAAATTGATAAACTGTTAAGTTCAGTAAAGTGGCAGGATTCAAAATCAACATACAAAATCGATTGCATTCCAGCAAACAAGCTATGAATGGAAACCAGAAAAACAATTCCACTTATGATACTACTAAAAAGAATGGAATACTTATGTATGCCAGACACTACACAATACAAACACATCCTGTGTTTAGATCGGAAGGATTCCTACTTCTAAACTATCTACACTGCCTAAAGCTATATACAGGCTCACTGTAATCTCCATAAAAATCAAATAGTGGTTTTTACGGAAATAGAAAAATCAATCCTAAAATTCATGTGGAAATATAGAAGACCAGCAACCCATCGATCCTGGAAAAGAACCAAGGTTAAAATATTTTAAGAAGTCACAGTTATCACTGGATACAGACAGACACATATAGTTCAAGGTCAGAACAGATAGCCAGAAAGAAACCCAGGTATGCATGATCAGCTGATCTCTGACAAAAATTGCCCAGAACACACAATAGAGAAAGTGTTCAGGTCTCTTCAACAAATGGGGCTGAGAAAACTGAAGAATCACATGCAAAAGGGTGAAACTGGAGGCCTACTTTGACACAGTGGCCAGAGATCAAGTCAAAAAGGACCAAAGACTTAAACCTAAAATCTGAAACTGTAAAACTCCTATAGAAAATGGGAAAGATCTTCAGGAAAGATATGAAGATATTTCATAACTTTCTTCTTTTCTAATAAATGTACTTGGTATTAAAACAAGAAAAGAAAAGAGGAAAGTTCCACATTGGTCTTGGTAGTGACTTCATTGGAAATGACACCAAAAACACAGGCAGCAAAGGAAGCAAAACCAAACAAAAATAAACAAACCGAACTGCAGCAAGAATGAGCACAGTGAGAAAGACCCCACGGAGAGGGTGTGTGCAATCGCTCACTCATTGGGAGTTGCATCTGAAACACACAGCAAACTCCTGCGACTCAATGGTAAGACACCAGAGAAGCTGACTGAAAAGCGAACAGACATTTCTCCGAGAAGGTGCACTCATGGAGCAGGTGCACTCAGTCATCAAGCAACTCTGATCACAGCAAACCCACACAGAGCACTGGGCACAGGCAAGGCAGCTGTTCTGAGGCACAGAGACACCACAGGTCACACAGCGTGCAAACACTACCGTGCAGCTACCGTGGAAATGCCGAGACCCTAAGAGAAAACAACACAGTGATCCTGACTAGCAACCCCACTTCCGAGGAAAGCCCTGAAAAGTTGAAATCAGAAATTCAAAGGGAGATTTGAGCCCCCATGTCCACTGGAGCACTGTTCACATGAGCCAGTCATGGAAACAAGCTGTCCATTTGTAGACAGATGATAAAGAAAATGTGGCATGTATGAGCAACAGAACACCACTCGGCCACCAGGTGTGGGGGCACACACTTGTAATCCCAGCACTAGGGAGGCTGAGACATCAAGACTGCTGGGAGTCTGAGGCCAGCCTGGGTGCACACTGCATGCAGGACCAGCCTGAACTACATAGCAAGACCCAGCCTCATAAAAACCTTAAATAACCAAATATTAATAAACATAAAGAACACTGAGCCTCTGAAACAAGTTGGACAAAACGTGAAATGAGCCCAACAAACCCTGTGTGAATGAGCTTCACAGGGCACTGAGTCACCCACGCCATGGACACAACAAATGCAACGGTGCATGGGAAAGAGCCAGGGAGATTCAGAACCACAGCTTAGGACCAGTCAAGTGAGATGGACGAGCTCGACGCCTTCCCACTTAGACACCTGTCCAGAGGAGCCCTTTGGCAGCACTTATCAGTCAGAGAAACTGTCTGAGCATACCCAGGTGCTCCTCAGGATTCCTGATCCCTCCTTTAGAAGTCACATTTAAAGCTATATGGTATGATCAGAATATATGCTGGATATTTACATTCTATAAATGTGGCACAGGAACAGACTTGCCACGAATCCTCTAACTCTCCCTCTCTCTTCGAGCACCTACCCTAACATTCTTATTAGCACTTTATGTAGCAGCTCCAGAGTCCTCCACGGCTAGACAAGAGGCTTCATGCAGTGCAATCCAACAGAAAGGCAGCTATGTCCCGCCGCCTTCTCCTCCGGATTGGGCACGATGTCCAATGGCTCTTCCCCACAGTCGGACTGACCACACAGCATTTTGAATGGGTTCAGGACACTGGCGGTACTAAGACACTCAGGAAAGAGGATCCAAACCGCTTCAGACAAGGCCAGGACAATGGGACAAGTGTGTCAGAAGTGAGGGGAGGGCTTTGAGCGAGATGAATGACAGTGTGTCTTTCACTGTAATAATTTTTTGAGGGGTATGGGGAATCGAACTCAGGACCTTGTGCTTGCCAGGTGGGCACTCTGCTGATGAGCTATAGCCCTGCCCAACTGGAATAATTCTTGAAGGTGAAGGACCACTGTATCTTCCGATCACACCAGGCACATGAGCTGTATGCTGCAAATGCCCCTGCATGCATCTGTTGCCTAGAAGTTGCTGGAAAAAGACTGATGCACTAAAAGCTTACAAAAAACTGTTGGAAAAATTAAGGGACCAGATGTCCAATACCCACTGGCATCGCCACCCACAGGGCGCTGGTCTTGCTCCTCACATTAGGGTGATGCCCTGACACCTGTCCTGAGCCCAGTCCACTTCCCTTCACACTGCACTCTTGTGCACGGCATGTGAGCTCACAGAAATGCACTCCTCTCCGGGTCTGGCTGAGGTCTCTTCTGTTTCTCGCACTCTTCCTTCTCCAGGTACAGTGCTGGAACCATCATCTTCAATAGCACTTCCCGACTTCTCTGGGGTGGGTCTCACGCATGAGGAAGGCCATGCACTCTGTCGCTGGAAGAACTGCCATGCGCTGTGTATACCTCAGGGGTTCCAGCAGGACTTCAGAAAAGAGCCTGTGAGTCTGGGCTCACACTCAGATCACTGCCATACAGAGCTGGTGCGGGTGGGATGTTGTGGAGAAACTTGTGGCCTAGAGCGCAGAGGGACAGGCAGCTTTGTGACCCCCCCCCCTCCAGATGCTCTTATTGTTTTAATACCTGCAGGACAGCTCTGTCCAGCCAGTGCTGTGCTAGGGGGCAAGGACAAGACCAGCAAGACCCCCCCTAGCCTGGAGGTCCCAGGTCCCAGGAGGGTCAGACACAGGACCTGAGGTGTCCAGAAGGGGGAGTGCCACTGGGGCCACAGTGACAGGAAGGGGTGGCCTGGGCAGGGACAGACCAGGGCCCACCAGGAAGCCAATGCACAGGCCTGGCTGCCAGGTGATGAGAAACACGATGGAGAGAGGGCCAGCAGGGCCTGGGGAACATGCGCTCCACTCTACACACCCCTGGCATGTGTGCAGGTTGGTGCATTCACAAAACTGCTGCAGCTCGAAGCTGCGCCGGGGAGGACACAGTTGCTCAGAAAAGACTGGACAGACTCCTTCTGCTGTCTGCTTCCAGATGATGCTTCTCTGACTTCTTGCAGCATTTTAATCTTAAAAATTGGTAGAGTGGAAAAACAAATGCCTCACAATACAGCCTTGTTATAAATCAAAACTGATGTGTTTACAGCATTCATTATGGTATTAAAAACAGCATAAGGCCAGGTGGGATGGCACACACCTATAATCCCAGCACCTGGGAGGCTGAAGCAGGAAGACTGCTGGGAGTTCAAGGCCAGCTTGGGCTACACAGTGAAACTTTGTCTCAAAAAAAGGCCTAGGTAGCTGGGTATGTAACTCTGTGTGAGGCCTTCGTTCTAATACCACCAAATGGCAGCCTAAAGGAAAGAGCTGTTAGTTCCCATGTGATGCCCACCACTAAGATAACGAGTGAGAGTGGACACTACTTCCACCACCTGCACTTAATTGCAACACCTGACCTCTGCACACGCATCCCAGTGCAGGAAATGTGGCTCCACGACCCTGTCCACTTCTACAGAGTGGAGGTGAGGGGGATTCCTAGCCTCTCCCACTGGGGTGCATAGGCAGATACCGCCTAAGCCTGTCTAGAATCTGTAGAGTTGACTGTGGAGCCACAGCGTGCTCACTTGTCGGCATCAAACAGGAGAGGGTTTCCTGTCCTGGGAACTCAAACACAAGTTTCAAGTACGTGGAAAGTGGGTGTAGGTGTAGGAGACAGCGGGTAGAGGAGGGGAGAGAGGAGGGGGAGGAGGGAGAGGGGCACTCAGTCCTGGGCTGTGCCCTCACGCCCCTCCCCAGAGTGCACCTGCCAAGCACGCAGGTCTCCGTAGACTCACCAAGCCGGCTGCGGCGGATCTCCTCGGGTGAGACAGGCCGCAGCTTCCTTTCTGCCTTGATCTCCTCTAAGATTCTCTCGTGGAGGCTTCGTGGCCGGGGAGGGGTGGGCTTCAGCTTCCTGGCGGAGACCTTGACAGGAGACAGTGGCTGGGATGTGAGCATCTACTCTGAACAGACCACGCTGGGAGTCACTGGCTGTCGCTCCCTAGCTGCTGACCTTAAGGTTTTTGACCGAACAGTGTAGCTTGCCAGTGGGCTCCACAGTGCTTAGAATACCAGGCTCAACGGAAAGGAAGCACTGAACTAAGCTGTGATGCTGAAACATCATGTCAACTTGAGAAGTCCAGAAGCTTCACTAAGTAACTCAGCAGTTTACATCCTGGGGTGCACAGGACTTGCCCTTCCTGCTCTAACAGGACTTGAGAAGTTTAGAGGCTTAACTAGTGACTCAGCAGGGGGCCAGGGCCCTCACTTTGGAAACATCCTCTTCCCATGTAAGAGGAGGGCACCGCGATTATGTGTGCTGCACCCACCCGAGGGTGAGCAGCCCTCTTACAGTACAAAGGAGAAGGCTCGCTCTCCCTACTTTTGCTCTTGTTGCTTTTGCTGTCTTCCACCACCTTGAGCTGGTGCCCCAGTGCCAGGCCACCTTGCCTTGGAGCCAGCTGGTTACAGACTGAAACCTCCACAAACTGAGAGCTAAATAAACCCTCCTTCCTTAACTTTGAGTGTCAGATATTTTGTCCTAGCAATGAGAGAAAAGTAAGACACGTCACATTGCGTGGCATACCGGATTAAGAGGTGGTCGGGACCGGATGAAGTCAAGGATGATCTCGTGGGCGCTCTTCTTCAGCCTCGGAGGAATGTCCCCGTTCACCTAGCAGACAGAAGCACAAGAGTCGTGTAACTGTGGCAGGAAACACAGCTGTGCTTCTTAGCAGCTACCTCGCGAGGGCAGCATCATGGGATCCCCCAAGGAAGTGGTCAAGAACCATGAAAACAGCTGTGGGCCTGAGTTCAGTGTGGTGTCATTTGGGGAATCAGACACGAGACACAGTCTTTCAAATAAAAAATCCTGAAACTAAAAATGGGAATGCACCCTTCACCTCAGAGCAGTAGGGTGAGGTCCACGTGTGTCTATGTGCCTGTCCACCAGGACCAGGTCCAGGTCCCCAGCAGATGTGGGTGTAGGTGCAGGATGGTGTGTGGGGGCCACCAGCCAGCTGGCGAGGTGCTGCATTTCCTGTGTTTACCAAGCGCCGCCCAGTGTAAAAAGCCTTATGTGCTTTTCATCCTTGTGAGCAGAAGGTGCAGGTGACCAGGGGCTGGCAGGACATCGGTGGCCGCAAGGGCAGTGATGCTGCAGCTGCCCCTGCTCTACTTCTACTGATGTCCTCCCCTTTGAAGGCCACATGCTAACGGGTTTTTTTTTAGAAATATAAAAAATGCCTAAATCAAAAAAATTTTTTAAAATCCCTAGAAAGCCACAAAGTCTCTGCCTCCACCCATCGGCTGCCGCCCAACAGGCACAGCTGTGCCGCTGTGACAGATTTGCCTCCCAGTCTGGTCTGAGCAAAACAGAGGCAGAGCTGCCACTGCAGCTGGTTCCCTGCCCTTTGAGAGATGCCACGTCTGAGCCAGCACCTGAGTGACATCTAGGTCTGTCGTGGCCGAGCCAGGATGACTCAGAGCCGAGGTCAAAGATGGCACTGCCCACCTGTGGAGCCCAAGGTGGGAAACTAAAAATCCTCTGTATACAGCATACAGTCAGCCTTCCCTGCCAACCTGTGCAGAATACACCTCTCACCAGCTGCCCACGCATGTGTCTATTCTGACACCCTTCACCTCAGAGCAGTAGGGTGAGGTCCACGTGTGTCTATGTGCCTGTCCACCAGGACCAGGTCCAGGTCCCCAGCAGATGTGGGTGTAGGTGCAGGATGGTGTGTGGGGGCCACCAGCCAGCCAGCAAGGTGCTGTCATCCCAGCCATCGTCCTCCCTCTGCTGGGGTCACAGAAGGCTCCATGTTGCTGCCGAGGTACGAAGATCCACCTTCTAAGATGGTGACACTCGGACATGTGCATCCTCATGTATTTTTGTGAAACCTGTCTTCTTGTATGTGTGTGGGTGTGGGTGTAGTGTGTACACTGGTTGTGTGCATGCACCCGTGTGTATATATACATGATGGGGCCAGGGATGGAATCCAGGCCCTTGTTTGTACTGGGTGAGCACTCATGGAAAGCTGGGCTCTGTAAGGCCTGGACAGCTGCAACAAAAGCAGAGCGGGCAGCCATATGTCACTGTCCAGGAGTTGACATTGGCAGTGGCTGGCTCACTCTGCTGTGCACGCCTGTACAGGAGGAGGTGGCCGGGGATGGCAGGGCTCCATTGGGCTTGGGTGGGAGCCCTGAGAGGCAGGCTCTGCCTCCATGATCTTAATCCCAGGCCTGCACGTGGCTGCACAGACCTGCCGCTGAGGCACAGGTGCAGAGGGAGCTGCCAATGAGTGTGGCAGAGCCATAAGCAAGAAAAGACCCTAACCCTAACCCTTTAAAGCGAGGTTGACTATAGCAGCATGGAAAAAAAAATTCACAATGTGTTCAATACTATGAAGTGGGCTGGAGGAGCCAAGCGGGAGGGAGTGACTGGTTACAAACAGTATTAGCCCATGTTTTATCCAAATTAAACACACAGCATAAACGACTGAGAGTCAGACCCCAGACCCTCACGGACCTCTCTGCAGGGGTGGAGGTGCGTGTCTGTGCCCTGGTCTCTAACCCCAGTGTGTGATCAGTTGGCCCGCTCACCATCACCCTGCGCAGGGTGTAGCGCCGGCCGCGGATATCCTCCATCAGCATCTCGTAGGGTGTGAGCTGGAACTCAATGGGCAGCGGGTCGTATCTCCGCTCCTGTACCTTCTTCAGCTTCACTCCGTTGCGCAAGTCCCTCATCACCTGGACCCAGAAGCGCGCCTGGAGGAGCCAATCGGGAGGGTCGTGACTAACCTGACTGTGGGCCCTATACCCCTGCACTGCCAAGAAGAGGGGCTGGGGTGGGTGTGGTGAGCACTGGAGCCCTAGTTCAAAGTACCAGATCCGTACAAAGGTCAGCAGAGAATGTATGGTCTCTGCAGTGGCAGTGTCCCAGGACACACTGCCTGTGCCCTGCCTGCTCCATTTAGTTCTTACCCTGATTCAGGGTTTGGGCTGCAGCAGCTGTGCCAGGACCACCGGCTTCAAAAGCACAGGCACACGGGTCTGGCTCTGCCCTGAACCCAGGAATGGGGCTGGCCTCACTCAGGGAGTATGGGCCCCGTGGGATGGGGGTGCTGTGCTGGTGCTCTGGGATCCTGCAGTACTGTGGGCGCAACTGCCAGGTGACTGACTAGCTGTGATCTGGCACTAGCTGCTACACCCTATCTGATCCCTTCTCACCAGAAAAGGAAAATGGAACTTTACAACTTGAGAAAATCGGTGATGTAGTGCTCTGCACACAAAAATGCTCAAAAATGATAATTTTTATGGCATCTTTGCATACATTTTAGTATGGGAAAGCACTTCCTGTGCACACTACTGTTCTCTCAGCCTCCGTTCCACTGCCTCCACTTCAGTGAAGTCACCAACACCACGCTCACAGAAGCGCTCCCCACTCAGCTCAGTGCATTTACTATAAACCCAAGAGCCAGAGAAGCATATACTGCACCAAGTGGGCTGGCACTGCGAGGCCTGGGTCTGATCTCAGGATCAGAAAGTAGCTTTTGTACATAAAATACATGGTTAAGTTTCTCAAAAATGTCCTTATGATAATTGAGATTTCAGAAACAGATAATACACCTCTCATTCTCTCTTTCTAGAAGGACGGGAGCTGCTTAGTACTGGGTTCATCCACTGAGCACCTTCTAAAATCCTCACACTTCTAGAGGTCCTTGGGCTCTGCCAGGATGGTATTCCAGGATAAAAACGCAGGACATCCGCACTTTTCTCTTCAGGGTGCCCTTGCCCCAGCTCTCAGTCCTCAAGATCGAGGTCAAACACCATCTTGCCTTTTAGATACACCTCTGCTTTCCTCAGGCTTTAGGAAACCCACACACAAACCCTAACCTCAGCTCCTCACACAGAGTCCAGGCTGCTAGGATGCTGACGCAGAGCCTCATGCATGCTGAGTGTACTCAGCCCTACTACTGCAACCCACAAAAGCATCCAGATGGGACTTTAACCCAGCACTGTCTGTCCAGCACTGTTTGGCAAAGTCTTACCATTTTTCAGAGATTAAGGTCAAGATTATTACATAAAGGGCCACATGGTGCCATCACAGGAGACTTCACCATTTAGCCTTGGTTCCTGAGGAGGCTGGAGTGCCCGGGGCCTAACTGCCCCTTCCTCCTCCTCCCTGTCTCCCCAGGGCTGCTCTGTGCATCCTCACAGAGAGAGGAGGCAGAGGGGATCACCCTCTGGAGCACCCATGCCCTCCTTGGGGAATCAGCACAGTGCAGATGACACAGCAGGGAATTCCACTTTCACTACTTGAGCTGTTCGCTAACTTTTGAACACCTGCATCACTTTTCTGGCTTCAGTGACTAGGAAGAGTGAATGCTATTAGCTAAGATAAATACACCTTGAGCAACATTACTACAGTATTCCATACAAAAGGCAACCAATAATCAACATTACCCTGAGATGACAACACTATCTGCTAATTCAATACAACTTGTTTCTTAATGTTGCTCTTAGGAGCTCCCATTGACATCAACATATCTCAGTAAATACATCAACCAATAAATACTGCACACAGGAAACAAGTGATATCACTATCAATAGAGGGAAGGATGGATAAATTGTATATCCATTTGTGCATGTGTGTGTGTGCTTGTGTACACACCCAGGTATCAAAATTTATCAGATGGCAAATGTGTCTTTTCTCTGTCATACTGGGGGTTGGACCCAAGGGCCTTCTACATCAAACTACATTTTAACACAAATGGCTTCTCACACTTGCACTGGCTCTCAAAGAGATGAGAAAAGAACACGGCAAACAATCAAAGCCTAACGTGGACCAAAGTGACCTGGCTGTACCCTCAAGCCTCTTCCTGCTTCTCTCAGCTCATGACATCATTCCAGATCCTGTACCCTGGGCCCAGGAAGCCAAAATCCTCCCATGTACCTCCCCGATGCCTGGACAACCCCATCTAACACTTCACCACAGCCATTGCCCTGTTCCCAAGGCTCTCATAGAACCAGCTCTGGGCTTTTATGAGGACAGGACCTCTTGGCATCCCTGGGACCTATTTTCACAGAGGAAACAGTGTCACCTGCCCCCACAGCATCTCCTCTGCGACCCTGCAGCCTGCAGTAGATTCTGCACTTCCACCCCAAGCCCCAGTCCTGATACAGCTCTTAGCCCTTGGGCAGATGATCGTACCACACTGGTCTTTACTCATTCAGAAAAATGGCTTCACCTTGAGCAAGGTATGAAAACGATTACACATGCAAATAAGATATCAAAATTCCCAGAGACATCGGATGGGTCTAAAAAAATAAGAAAGTTCTACAAGCGGGGCAGGATATTCTTTGCATCTAAGGCTAAGCACCCAAATTCCTCTGTCTTCTCCTCGGGAACAGCACTTGTGAGGCTGGTAGGACCCTGGCATCTCACCCAGTCCGAGTTCTTCAGTTCCTCCAGGTCGGTGCGGGATTCGTCACCCTGGTCCATTTCCTGGATCTTCTTAAGGTTCTGCCAGGAGAAACGAAACCATGAATGAAAGCAGTTTGACTTGAAATACAAGCTGGAGTGCAAACTCTCAGCAGGTATCTCCAGGTAACATGGAACACATGCAGACACACTGCAACGGCAAGCGGAAACACTGAAACAACACCCAGGATCTGGAGGCAGACTTATTCATGTTGACGGGCACTGGTCAGGATCACTCCCAGAATATCAGACCCCGATCTCTGGTGGTCTAGGGCTTACATGAGAACATGCAGGAAGTACAGAGGCAGAACGGCTTGTCCATTGGGAACTGGTTTATGCAATGTGCATCACAGTGCCCAGCTATGCATTCCAGTGCCCATTTCTAAGACACAGGAGCAACTGGAACTGGAACAGGAACTGTTACCTGGGCAACCAGGAAACTGAAGAATACCAGCGGGGGGGCATGTTGTCACAGTGTCACCGAAGGAGACACTGCTGATTTCTACAGCTGGTTCCTATGGGTATCTTTGGGGATGTCAGCTCCAAACCGCCTCCAGCCCTGTGTCCTGCACAGGGCTTTTCTACCTTCACCCCTCAGGCTGACAGAACTCCCTAGCTCCTGTCCTCCCAGAGTGGGCCTCTCCTTTGGCCTCCTCACCACAGTGGGTTCCTCGATGCCACATCCTCTCCAGGCTCCATCACATCTCCAGGAGCAACCACAGCTTTGCCACTTTTTGGTTTCAAGTTAGTGAACATGTTTTAATTGATAAAACACATTTTTTCCTATTTCCCAAGTTTACTTTTGTTATACAAAATAGGTCATCTTGCAAAACAAAAAGCAGTATGTACTGTAAACATATGTCACATTTTTCTTCCTACTGTTTTAGCTCACCTCCCCTACCAAAAGAGCCCCCCAAAAGTCCTACCACAGCAAGAATGACTGCCTGACTGAAGGACGTGCTAAGAAACAGAAGGGGCTGTCACATGCATGGTCCTCTCCAGGGTGGGGACCACACGAGTGACCCCTGAGCCTGCTGTCCCAGGGGCCTCCTCTGTTCTCCCCAGAGCTGGTGAACAGAGAAGTGGAACTTCTCCAGTCATATTTTTCTTTTTTTGTGTGTGTACCAGGGATTGAACTCACAACCTTGCGCTTAGCAGGCAAGTGCTCAAGCTGCTGAGCTAACCCCGCCCCCTGCCTTTTTTTTTTTTTTTTTTTTTTTTTTTGTATTTTTCTTTAAATAAGCACCACCAAAGCAACAGCCCTGCTTGGACTCGGATGGAATTAATCAGCACTCCATGAAATCTAGCTTGTTTTACGTAAGGATTCGAGTGAACTATTTCTGCCATTTATTTTTAGCTTCTCAACATTTCCTATTAGCTATCTGTACAGTGAGGATAATGCTACCTGCTTTTTTGTTCTTCATAATGTAAAGAAATGCTAATATGAAAAAATGGAATTACTCTGAATACTTGAGAAAACTACAGTCTAAATAATGTACTATTTCTTTTCTTACTGGAGATGCTGTTTTGAAAGAGAAAGTCCAGTCCCCGCTGCGGACAGTGTGCCCGGGTCTGCAGCCTTGTCCGGGGCCGCTGTCCACCATTGGTCAATGATCCCTCTGTATCACTGTGCTGAGAGGCCGAGGGAGAACTCCATGACTTGGACCCTGTCATGTGCGCCCAGTTGGCACACGAGTGGCCCCAGGAGGGTGCAAGGTCGTTGGCAGTCGGCTGTCATCTACACTCAGCACCCTGTGTGGACGGAAGCTGCAGGCCCAGGCCCCCTACCCATCAGAGCCACACTCCAAATGCCCGACTTTGTCCAATCCACTGTTGGCACTGGGCAGCAGTGGCCTTCACTGGGCTAAGCACCACCATTTACCCGTCGGGAGCTGCAGCTCAAAAGGCTGCTCAGCACCACTGGCCTCACTGCAGGTGAGGGGAGCGGGCAGAAGACGAGGACACCTGACTCAGACGGGCAGGGACGGAAGGCACGGGGGACCGATGGGAGGGGCTTGCCTGCCCCAGGCCCTGGTCATTCCTGGAACAGCTGGGCAGTCTACTTCATGCCTCTAAGGGGCTCTCACAGGATCGATGATGGAGCTCATTGTGGACGGGGAATACCAACCCTGGAACCCGAAGTTCTCCACTTTCTACCGGTCAGACCCACACTCAATCTATAATGTTCAAGATGTGGATCAGCTGCCTGTAAACTCTGGGACTTGTAGCTTTCTTCTTCTGTCCACAATCTGCACCAAGTGTCCGAACCAGAGCTGTGTGGGGACTGCGTCCCAGGACAGATACGTTTGTATTCTCCTCTAGGGATGTGACCTACACTCCATCAGAAAGAGCCAGGGCCTGGAGGATCCATTCTATGGAGGGAAGAATCCACTAGTGTTGGGAGACAGGGATTTGAGGAGACCTCAGGTACCACCAAGCTAATGCCAAACATACTTCCACAGAGAGGCCTACCTGACCACACATCACCTTCCACCACCTCACTCACCCTCATGTGCACAGCTGTACCCCAACAGGAGCCCTCTGTGCTCACTTCCCCAGCAGACATCCGGGTGTCTAGGATGGGCCTCCTGGTGACCGCACCTGGTCAGTCAGCAAACAGAGACATGTTTGACCACAAGTGTCTAATGCTTGAGTCCTCTAAGCAGAGCTCTACTAAAAGAAGCACAGGAGAGGAAAAGATTCATTCCGGAGGAAACTGGCACCTTCTCCTCTCTATTCCAAATCCTGTGGCAGCTAGGGAGAGCCTGCTTCTGTGCTGGGTGACATACACTCCAGGCAGGAAAACACCTAGCCCACTCAGCCTTAGGCCACGCACCTGGGGCACAACCGCCCCCAGTGGATGGTACCATTACTACCAATTTGACTAAGAGGGAGATGCAATGCTTTCCCAACACCCCAGGGGAGCAGTGAAGTCACCAGAGAACCGGACAAGTCAACCGGCTGGGCTGCATCATATGCTGTGTGGTAGCCATGGGTGGCCACTGCCAGCTCCCCATGCACCAGGGCCACGTGCCACCTACTCCATACCCATCACCCCACAGCTGCTCTACAGGTTCCAGACCACCAGGAAAGAAGACAGTGACAAGGGCTGGAAATACATCCCTCTTTGTAAGTTTATAATGTTCAGAATAATTCCAATGGCCTCTGGGAGCCCTGTGGACTCGGGGTCAGCCACTCTGGCCTACGAACTGCCCGTATCTGTGACACAGACATGTGTTCTCACAGTAACACACCCCAGGGGCTCAGGTACCTGCCCTGGCTCCCCAGGGTGAGGATGTGGCCAGCTCGACTCCCACCCCCAAGACACAAACTGCAGCAGAGACTTCCAGTGGAGCTATAGGCTGGGGGCTGTCCTCCAGGGGCAGCTGTGCCCTGATGTCCCAGTCATAGGAGCCACCCCCACCCCCCACCCCCGCATTGCCCCTGCCAGGTTTCTCTGAGTGAGATTTCGTCATTTGCAACCCAGAGCTATAGTTTAATTTATCGGCATAAGCTCAGAAATATGTGTTCACACTTCCCCTCGCACGTCTCAGGGTCCTCTGGTGGGGCAGCATGAAAAGCATCACAAAGATTCAATCCAGACTCTCTGGTTTCCAGGCTGGCACCAGGGCCTCTTCTCCACTGGACCACCCAGGTCTGTGTTTACCAAATGATGCCTCTTTCTAGTTTCATCATGAAATCAAATCCTACCTCAGCAACAGATCAGTATAGAATAGTTGACAATCTGTAAATATAAGAACTAAACAAGCTTGGTCAAATACGTGACCAGAAAGCTTAGTGGTTTTTGTTAACAGAAAAAGCAAATGAGTTATTTGAAAGTAAATCACAGATTTCTCTGGTTTTGGAGACAAATTCAATTCTATTTCAGTGTCTGCGTGAAGCTTTTTCTTTGCCTGCATAAATGTCATTACAGATGCCAGCCGGGCCTGCAGCAGGGCAGGAGGTTGGTTCTGCATCCCACAGCCATCCTCCAGCCAGTGCCGAGGTCTGTGCAACACCCGCAGTTCCAGTTCTGCCCTCTTGAGAAACAAATCCAGTCTCCTCCCTCAACTGCACAGCAGATGCTCAGAGAATCGTTAAATTCCCACAAGTGGGCTGTTTTTCTCGGAGTCTCCTTTGTGTTTTAGGAAACTGGTTCCTGTCTGGGAAGAGCCTTTCTACAGCCTTTCTGCAAAACGCTCTTGGGGAACCTGCAACAGGGACTGGGGCAGGAAGGGCAGCAAAAACCTAGGAACAGAGCTGTGTGATTTTGCCCATGAGCAAGCATTCTACATACATACTGCAGTCACAACAAAGACAAAGACCAAACAGAAAAGGCAGGCAGGAGTGAGATTAAGAAAGCTCTGGCTGAGGGATGATCTCATTAGGAGCCCAGACTTCTGGTTCTTTCTGTCACCACTTGGGGGTACAAACCCAACGCAGATCTAAAGCAATTTCCAGGCTCCTTCACGCTACAGTTGGCCTGGGTTCTGCCGTTCACCTTCCTGCTGGAGACTCACACACAGATGAGGAATCAGGGAGCGTGGGTGAGACAGCCCAGGCCAGACGGCTTCCCTCCACCCGTCTCCCAGACAGGGCCGCCCGTGCTCTCCACCTCCCTTGCCCACCGCCTTCAGGGCCCACGGTGGCCGATCCCACTGGCCCGTCTGGACCTGTGCCAGCCCAGTCTCCAGAGCTCCGACGAGACCTTGCAGAAGGTGACTGGCACGGCTCCACCTCCACTGGTGGAGAGGTGGACGGACCCTAACTGACATTGCTGGGAGGTGACGGCAATGCAGGGGCAGGCGCAGTGAGGGGAGAGGAGACACCCAGTCCTGCCCTTCCTCCACTCCTGCTTCCTGGTGGTTTCAGCAGTCCGCACCAGCCCCACACACAGCACCACCTGCCCCAGCATGGGTCCTGGGCACGACGCCCCATCTCCATGCTGCTACCCCCACCCGAGGCCTTCACACGGCTTCCACTAGGTCACGTCTGGTCACAGGGATCCCCTGACTGGGTGAGGTGCCCAGCTGGCCCACAGCACCTGTGGAGGTCCTGATTGCCACCAACCGGCCAGACTCTGCCACTGGCTGCCCTTCGGAGCAGCATGCCACTCAGGGACTGCTGTGAGGAAGACACACAGCATCGAGGTGTACGATGGCCAGAAGAGAGGGCAGTATGACTCATGTGGAGTAGATGGCGGGGCCTGGGTCCAGCATCTTCGTGCCGGGCTGCATTCCCTGCCTTTTCATTTTGAAACAGTGTCTCATGGAGCCACTCAGTTGCCTGGGCTGCCTTTTTTTTTCCTTTTCCTTTTCCCTTTCCTTCCTGTCTCTGTCTCTCTCTCTACCTCTCTCCTTCTCTTTGTCTCCCTGTCCCTACCCCTGCCCCCTCCCTTTCCCTGTCTCTCTGTTACCAGAAGTCAAACTCAGGACCCCTGTGTACCAGGCCAGCCCCACCCCTGAGCTTGGAACAGTTGTCTTCAGCCCAACGCTGTGGCCACTGACCGCAGTGTCACTGTCAGCAGCCGCGTTAGGTCTCCGTATGTGAGCAAACCCATTCTGCCACGGTTCTGCCCTGCTGAGCAGCCTCCTCACGCCCTGCACCCAGCATCCAAAACCCAAGCCTGCATCCCACCATATCCTCCCTGGGGCCTGGCGCTCACTCCAGCTCCTTGTATGTTGCCGACTATCTCAAAAAGTTGGAGAGTGGAGCCTGGCTCCTCCTAGCACACTGATGTTCAGTTTGCTCCAGTTTGCTCTGGTTTTCCTAAAAAACATGGCAGGAGGCAGAGCTAGCCCTGAAGGAGGGGGGCAGCCTGACACTGTCAGGCTCAGAACTCAGCCTCTTGTCTGGCAGGGAGCCTCCCAGAGCACCAGGCCTTGGGCTGACAAGGGGATGCAAGATGGTGCAGAGCCAGGGGCAGGGCAGAAGGCCGGGGGAGCTGGTCTAGGGCAGCTGGGAGCCTCATTCAGCCACCTGGCCCCACACAGCCCAGAGGCTGCCACCAAGGGTCAGACACCAACAGGACGCCCTGCCAACAGTGGCCAGAAGACAGGCAATGGTGCTGGGACAAGAGAGGACGCCTGCAAACAACCGTCAGAGTGTGGCCTCGAAGTGCAGGGGACAAAGTCTGGAAGGGGAAGTTAAGATGTCAGCAATAGCAGGTGCAGTGTGTGCGCTGCTCACCCGTTATATGGGAGGGTGAGGCAGGACGGTGCCTAGTTTAGGACCAGCCCAGGAGACCTAGCAATACTCCATCTCAAAGTAAAACAAGGACGGACGAGGGATGTAGCTCAGCACTTCCCGGGTTCAATCCCCACCACCATAAAGAAAAAATACCTAAATAAAAGGAAGCCACAGCCCACAGGAGGCGTGCAGAGACTGCACCATCAGGAAATCAAAATGACCTGCCAAGCCAGGTGGGAAAGGAAACCTGAATGGCTGAGCGAGCAAGGGCGGGAGGCAGGCACCTCGGCAAACAGCGCCCCCAACTGTGGGTGTCCACGTCCTGTGTGGAATGAAACTTCATGAAAATTCCAGCTTTATAAAGTAGACACAATGTCATTTTCCCTAGGTGGCTTTCCTCAGTGACCCCACACCAGTCAGAACCCACGCTGGCGGAGCCCGATGCCCGACGTGAGCGGCACTGAGCGGCTGCACCCACCTCTTTCGCATTCTTGATCTTGGTCAGGAATGTGTGGAGCTCCATGGTCTCCGCGAACAGGGCACGGCACACGGCCTGATAATGATTCGCCGCCTCTGCCTCCGCGGGAAGGTGAGCAGCGCACATCTGCCAAACAGGAGAATGAAATACAGGAAAAGGTTATTATTTGGAATTTAAGGTGTCTTGATCTGTTCCATGATCTTTGGGTCTGATTTTTTGCCACTACCACTCTGTTTTTATCACAGTAGCTTTACAGGATAATTTCAAGTCAGGGATTGTGATGCCCCATCTTGTCTTTGTTGCTCAGGACTACCTTTGCTGTTCTAGGGCTCTCCTGGTTCCTGATGAATTTTAGGATTGTTTTCTCTAATTCTGTGAGATATATTATTGGAATTTTGATTGGGATTGCATTAAATCTGTGTAATGGTGTTGAAAGTATGGCCGTTTTCACTATACTGGTTCTTCCTACCTAAGAGCACGGATTTCTCTCCATTTCCTAACATTCTCTTCAGTTTCCTTTTTCAGAGTAGTTAGCTTTCAGTGTAGAGGTCTTTTACATCATGTGTTAGGTTGATTCCTAGGTCTTTCATTTATTTGGATAATATTGTGAAGAATGTTGTTTCTCTGATTTCTGAGTTTGTTATTTGTGTGCAAGAAGCCTACTGAATTTTGAGTGTTGACTTTGTATCCAGCTACAAATACTTAAGTTTTCAACCCAGTAACCAAACCACAAGTGTGTATGCATCTCTCTGCCGTGAGTAATGGGTTTACATTTTCTAAAGACCCAGTCTTGCTCTGCAGTTCAGACTGGCTTTGAACTTGGTTATGCACCCCAGGCTGGCCTTGAACTCATGGTGACCCTTCTGCTTCAGCCTCCCAAGTGCTTGGATTATAGGTGTGCGCCATCATGCCCAGTAGCTTTTATGTTTTAAAATTTCAGTGTGATTGTTAAATGTCTCAGTAGTTATCTCCCCTGTCATTTACCTAAAAGGAACATTCAGAACATACTGTCATAGATGTGGGAATTTTATAGGCCAGTTCTGATTAGCATAGGAAGCAAGAAGTAAGAGGTGAGGCTACGATAAATGAGGTCAAATAAAATTGCTAAGAATGGAGTTAAGCTACAGATTTCCTCCACCTGTAAGGTCTGTCTTTGAAGTACCTTGGCACCTTTTTAATGTATTTTCCATATGATGAAACATAACAGCTCAAATATAACAATGACTGAAGCTGTTTGGTCAGACTGTCGCTGGCCCATGGGTTTCCCGGAGGCTGCAGAGTGAGGCTTTGGAGATGCCCATCCAACAGACCTGGGGGCGACAGCGTGCGGAAACCTGGTTCCCTCTGTCACACAGCAGGGTGGTCTGGGTGCCTACACTTTACTTCTGTTTATTCTTTAAAAACTGCCACACCTACTCCTGCTACACACTTACCAGACTGGCACATACACACAGGGTTCGGTTTGTGCTACCCACCTTGGCCCCAGGCCCCCAGGGGCTTCCTGTCCCGGGAGGGAGCAGGTAGGGCTCACCCCGGAGTTGGGCTTACTCCATCTAACACAATGTTCCCCATGTATATTTTTAAAAATTAAAACGTTACATCTGCCTTGCAAGCGCGAGGTCATGAGTTTGATCCCTAGTACCAAAAAAAAAAAAAAAACCCCAAAAACGAAAAAAAAAACTTTACATCAAGAACATGTAACATGAAGAGTCTGAAGTTTCACTCTACGTGTGTGGGACATTTTACTTACGTGAGTTAGTGACTTAATACCAGGACCTAAGACCTAAATTCTCTGACTCAGTACTGGCAGGTCCCAGCACCCTAAATGGTCACCCTAAGAGGAATTCCCAGCCCAGGCCAGGTTTCTCAGCTACACTTGAACTCTGGGGTGGTCAGGAGAGGCCTGTGTGACCCGCAGCCCCCTGCTGCCACCCCACAGGATGGAGGTGAATGCAGGTGGGTGTGCCGGCCCAGGGTACAGCTGCAAAGGCCTAGCAGGCTGCACCAAATGCTGACCTGACATCTCACTTCACTCATTCCTGGGTATTTGTTTTGTTTTTCGGTGCTGGGGACTAAGCTCAGGGCCTGTGCAATGAGCTATGCCCCATTCCTTTTCAGTTCCAGGACTGGACTCTAACTTGCCACCCTCCTGCCTTAGCTTCCCAAGTGCTGTGATTAGACTCCATTTGTACCTTCATGACATCTCGGTAGGTGCAGACAGCCCCAGGTCGCTGCTGGCCCTCTTTCTCATCCTCGGCACCCTCGTCTGCAGCCCCATAGCCCTCGTCATGGCTGCTGTCGGCCTCGGTGGTGTTGGCCATGCGGTCAATGAGCTGCTCCAGCGGCGGGCTTAGCTCGCGCTCCTCGTTCTCCTTCAGGCCATAGTCCAGGGCCTTGTAGATGATGATGCCCAGGGACTCAATCATCTGCCACACAGAGCACCAGTGCTGGATGGCTCAAGGGGCCCGCGTGTCCTGGCACCAAGACCACCTGTGTGCAGGAGGAGTTCCGCAGCCCCCACTCCCTGAAACACCTCCGACAGCACGTTCTGCGGTTTCCTCAAAGTGACACCAGCTCAACCTGCAAGCCCTTTCATATTTTCTTAAATTTATACAAGATGTTAACATCAATCTTCTCTCCGATGGGTGTGGGGTGCACCCTGGCACCCCTCCCATCACGGCAGGAAGCTGCACAGGGAAGCCCAGTCTTGACGACTGAGTGAGACGCTGTCTCTGAAGGTGAGAAGAGCAGGTCAGAGCTGTGTAGGGTGCTGGTTTCACCCTCAGTCCCGGAAGGAAAAGCAGTATTCTCCATTATATGAAACACTAATGAGTCTGATTCCCCAAATTTCCCCAAAATATTCTGAGGCTAGACAGGGCTGAGGAAGGGGCTCAGGGGAGCATGTGGGTCTGCAGGGTACACCAGGGTTCCTTCCTCGCACCTCAAAACAAAACGGATCAATACCGAGTGCCTGTGGGCCATCAAACAGCCGAAACCATTAACACCTGCCCTGCACATCGTGTTCCCTCCCAGGATGGACAGAGGGGTCTTTCTCAGCCCAGCCTGCGGGCATGCAGAGGCCCAAGCCCACCCAGCGGTGAGTGCGGCCGCTTCCTCAGCACCACCCTCCTCTGCTCAGTAGGACCACCACACAGCCGTGCAGCTTTGCTCACAGCCCACGGCTCAGCCCACTTTACCCTGGCCTTTCCTCTTCCCTCGCTTCCTTCCAATGGATGAAACAGGAAACATGAAGACAGAAGAGCACGGTAAGCAGAAACAGAAAGTTCAAGAAAGAGCCTAAAAGACTCGGAAAGGTCAGACACTGTAACCGAAATTTAGGAGCCTCTTGATGGGCCCGCTTGGGAAGGAAGTGGCGGGGGAACACCCGGTGTCTCCTTGGGATGGTCTACAACTGAAAAGCAAACCCAAGAGAGACTGGAGACACAGGGAGAGTCCTGCAAACAGAACAGCACATCCCATCTGAGGTGTGGACGACTCTGCCACCAAAGGAGCAGGCTCGAGGACCTTGGAGCTCTGAAAGGCTGCCAGCCCTGCCACCCCACTACCTGTGTGAGAACAGTGTGCACAGCTCCCCACTTTCAAGCACAACTTGGAGCCCTGCTCCCAAGAACCCTGGAGGCCTGGAGCTCAAGAGCACCAGGTGCAGCACACTGGCTTGGTCACTGGTGCGTAGGCAGCAGAGTTAGGGGGCCACATGGCAGAGTCCCTCACGCAGCCTGCGACAGCCAGGCAGGTGGAGGGGGCGGCCATGAGCAATACTGTCCCAGAGGGCTGAGGGCAAGGCCTGTGTGCCAGGGCCGGCTCAGTGTCCCCAGGCTGGGTTCCGTGCTGCCCTGATGGCTCTCAGTCACTCTGCCCCATCCCTCCCTCCAGTGCTCTGTGCCCTGCCCTTGGGATGGAGTTACAGCTGTGTCTAGATGCCCCTCAAAGCCTCATGTAGTCACAGATGGGGCTTTTTCTGGAAGTTGCTGGATCTGGAGTACTTGATTGATTCATGGTGCAATGCTGGGATTAAGGGTAGGTGATTAAGTCAGTTACTGGTCAGTTTGCCACTGCCCTAATCCTAGGAGTCTGGATACAATGTAAGGGACAGAGAGAGGCTTGTCTTCTCCCTCCCTTGTTTCTTTCACTACTTTGTGAGCACTAGGAATTATTCTCCTCTGCGAAGCCACCCTGCCTTGGAGCCAGCTGAGTATGGACTGAAACCTCTACAAACTGTGAGCCAAGTAAACCTCCTCTTTAACTTTAAAGTGTTGGAAATTTTTCTTGGCAACAAGAAAAGTAATCAAGAAATATGGGCTGTTCCTCAGCCCTGTCTGGCACTGCACCCCAGAAGTGTGTGACCAGGGCCTGGATCTTTACGGGGCTCACAGCTGACTGGCCTCAAGGGCGGGCACCAGGCTGGGGAGCAGAGCATGTGCTTAGCAAGCATGCTGTCACAAGTTTGACCCTAACCACGCCAAAGGTAAAGTGCCTGCAGTTGCGGAGGAGAGTTTGGACTTGTGCTGTTTTTAGGTTTTCTTTTGGTTTTTTGAGATGACTCACTACGTAGTCCAGGATGACCTTGAATTCACTATGAAGTCCACGCTGGCCTTGAACTCATGGTGATCTTCCTTGCTTCAGCCTCCCAGTGCTGGCCTAGAGACTGCATCACTACACTTGGCTGAACTTGGACTCCTGAGCAATGCTGGGACAGTAGGGCTCTAGGGACCTGGAGACAGGATAACGTACTCTGCATTGTGAGACAGCTGCAGGCCTTCAGGGGCTGGAAGTTGGATGCTACTGCATGGACCTTAAATATCCCCAATGGTCCACAACAAGGCTCTGTCCTCAGCCAGGTGCTGCCAGGAGGTGGTAAAATTTTAAGGGCTATGACTTTGGGGCAGTCTACAGAGACCAGGAGTCTGCCATGCCCATAGGGCGAGCAGATCTGTTACAGCCTGCTGCCAAGCTGGGCATCCAATCTTTGCCAGAGGCCCTCCAGGGCTTCCTGACCAGGGACTGGGACCTCGGGGCCAAGGACCCCTTGCATCTGTCTCCTCTCAGTGGGTTCATTACCTCAGGTGTTATGACACCAAGCTGATTAACACACGTTAGCAAAGGAGAAAGATACAAAAATCAACAATCTAAATTTCTACCTTAGGAAGTCAGGAGAGAAAAAGCAAATTAAAACGAAAGTAAGAAGAAGATAAGAAAATAGTAAAGAAAGCAGAGATTAATAAAATTGAAACAAGAAATTAACAGAAAAAAATCAAGGAAATCAAAAGTTGGTTCACTAAAACAATCAATAGTTAGCAAAACTCAGAAAAACCAGAGGCACAGATGACCAGCAACAGAAACAAAGGAAAGGAAGTCACCACTCCAGGCACCTTGGGCACCATGCCCACAACTGGGACCACCGGGGAGACAGGCCCGGCCAGCCCTCGCCCCAGAGGAAACAGACAGGCCTCAAGAGTCAACAACCCTCCGCAGCAGGAGTGGATCCAGAGGAGTCTGGCAATAAAACCCTGAAGACAGCAATTTGCCACTCTGCAACCCTGCTACGAACGGAGAAGCGGAAGGCTGCTTCTAACTCGTTCCGAGGCCAGGAATACACTAAAGCAAGGACACTGAGGGAAACTGAAGTTCTGCCATGAGCATCCACAGGAAACGCTCTACAACAAACCAGCAAATCAAAGCCAGCAGTGTACAACACAAGTCCTGCACCACGACCACATGGGATTTATCCCAGGCAAGCAAGAAATAACAACTGTCCACAAAACTTGACTGTCTACACAGACAATCTAAATCAACAAAAAACCCTTAGAATGGGGAATTACAACAAGGTATAAGACACAAGGTTAAACCCAAAGCAAGGAAAAGGGAACCTGAAAGTACACACACAGTGCTGTTGCATTAGCTCTCCCAACCCTGACATGCTGAGGTAGCAACATAACAAGACATACACCAGGCCTGCACCAGGAGTTCTACAAAACCCGGACAAACAAGGTCAAAGAATGGAGCAGGAGAGTCCCCGGCCACAGACAGGAACACTTACTGCCAGCAAGAGGCCCACATCCCCAGCCTCAACTATGGGGCTAGCGCAGTCCTGCTCAAGATCCAGCCGTCACTTCTCCAGATACCCACAACCCTAATCCTAACCCAGCCGTCACTTCTGCAGATACCCATAACCCGAACCCTAAGCTGCTGTCCAATGGAGAGGCGAAGACTCTGAACAGTCAGCCTGGCCCCACTCTAGTGCTGGGCCCCAATGACAGCTGGTGTCCGGAGACCCCAGCAGCCCCCGCCAGAAGCCTATAGCAGGTGACCCAAGAGTGGGTTCTGGGCCAGGGGATGGGGACTTAGGAGCTGCTGCCTCGGCAGGGATTGGCACTGTCCTTCGGGGCCTAGGGGAGCTTCCCTGAAAGCACTGGCATCCTGCCTAGCACCCAACCACTCCCTCTGCATGTGCCCACGTCTGGGATGCCACCTGCCCACAGGCTCTGGCCATAGTGGGCAGAGACCTGCACCTCACTCTGGGCCCCAGAACTTGGAGTTAAATAAGCTTCCCGGACCCCAGGTATTTTGTTATAGTCATGGGACAGGGAACAACGCAGATCATAAGCAGGAAACACCAAGCACCCCATGGGGAAGCACTGGGTCAGCTGGAACTGTTGGCCGTGCCCCAGGTCCCTTTTTAAAGGAACCCAGCCCCTATATTCTGTGGGCTTGAGGTCGTCAACAGCTCCAGTGTGCGAGCTGATTATGGGGTTGTGACTTTATTTTTGTGATTCACGTTAAGCTTTTGTTTACTTAAGCTACAACGTTTCTGTGTATGCAGATCAAGAAGAAACTGAGCAGGTTTCTTATTCTCCAAGAGTCAGACTACTCCCACCGCTGTTCTCACACCGCTGCTCCTGGGGTACCATGCCACCTTGCCTCTGGCAGCTCAGTGCCACCCTTTGCTGCCCCTGCTGCCCTAAGACCGGTTATTCCTATTGTGGCCAGGTTCACTGTGTCTGGTGTCTGCACCAGAGCCATCATAGGACTTTGAGATGTGGGCTCTGACAAATCTGCTTCCCAAGTCATGGTGACACGTGCCTGCTACACTTCCCAGGCTGACTGGCAAATCCCCGGGTGGAGGACAAGCCTGTGCCACCTCTACCTCCCGTCGTCCCGCACAGCTCCCCCACCACTCCATGCATTCCTCCATCCCAGAGGCTGCTGGGGTGCTCAGCTCCTCTCCATGTGGCCTCTCAGCACAGCACGGCTTCCTCAGCTACACCAGCCCCCAACAACCCTTTCCCAGGGGCTGTGGAGCAACTGAGACTGAACTCTGCACCAAGTCCTGGGCCAAGGACAAGGAGTGACCTCCAGAAAAACTACCAAGGCACTGGAGAATCTGGACAGACCGGCTCTTAGATAC